CTTCCGAAGTTTATCAATGATTCTATCCATTTTAGGTTCAATTTCTTCTCCAAATTATCATTAATCGTTGCTCTATCCTACTCGCAGATCGGAAAACGGCATACCGTCTTAAGGTCGGTGTTGCGGTCTTAATCACCGCCGTTAATATCTCGGTCTATAATATTTGGATCCCCGCCCGTCTCCAGATCTCAGAGAAATATATCTGGATAAACGAGTGGTGGGACCGTATCGAGAAGGGGATCTACCTACTTGTCGACGGAGCACTCAATTTCTATTTCATTCGCGTTGTTCAACGGAACCTGGTGGCAAATGGCCTAATCAAGTATAAGAGTCTGGTCAAGTTCAATATGTGCATCGTCGGATTCTCCCTCAGCATGGATGTCCTTATTATATCTATGATGAGCTTGCATAACACGTTCGTGTAAGTCAACTCCATTATATTACCCTACATCGCATGAACCGACAAACTTTCACGAGGAAAAGCGGAATAGATAATGGGAGACACTCCTAACTATGATTTCAGTTACATGCAGTTTCATCCCTTCGCCTACATAGTCAAGCTCAAGATCGAGATGTCAATGGCAGACTTGATAGGGAAAATTGCCAGACAACGACAATGTGGTGTCACCACCTCCAACACTTTTGGCAACCTTGAGACAGCGCGACAGGGAAGCGTTCCAAGTAAAAACCTCACGTCCACGCATAGCAGGACAAGAGTCTCCACGGATGGAATTCGTACTGTTCGCGGAGTTGATGTAGTATCTATCGAGTTGCAGGAAGGACCAGATGGGTCAGCTGCCTTCAATGGCCGGTCAAAGACGAAGAGGGACATGGGGTTTCTTGGCGAATCTTCATCTTCAAGCTTGCAAGTGGGGGTGGCTATTTATACCACGGAAGACAATCGTATCGACGTCGACGCTGCGACAAGCAATCATGGGGAAAGCACATGTAGTGTTGCAGATAGCTTCGACGAGAACGGATCGGCAAGGAAGGACGACGATGACGAAAGACCGCTAAGGTAGAAGCAGATGGCAGATAAGAAGTAAATGATGATGTGGACAAGCGCGGATCGTCTTCTTCCAGACCTCGTGAGCCGATGCCGTCGTAATCGTGCTGCAGCCAAGTTGACAAGCGGCATGTCGAGCGCAGGTGAAGGGGCTCAGCAAAGCCGTCGTCCGAGTCCAAGCAGCCTTCGTCTAGATCTGACTCTTCAGGACGTTTGCCGTATGAAGCTTCAATAACTCGAGGTTTCGGCCACGTATACTCCCCATATTTGCAGGCGTATCGCGGCTGGCAGCTGGGAAAATTGAGAAAGGCGTTGATCGAGCACGTACCCCCTACATAGCCGCCAACCGATGGACGGGCCACAGGGGTCAGATGACCGATAGGAATGGCGATGGGAATTTTTGGAATGGGACGCAGTTCGATCGCGCTCGTCTGAGGCGGCGTACGAAGAACGGAGGCTCAAGATGGCAGACACGATCAGATCGCGGAATGAAGATGAGGAATGCGACAGAGCCTTGTTTTTATATATGCTACGCAATGACGAGCTTAAACGTCGCCTTCACTTGTATGATGTGGTCACAATCTTAGGGTAGGAGAGAGTGGGTGGAGGGGCATAAAAGCTATTACAGTCTGAGGGCCAGGAAGTGGGATCGAAGCTCTTGATTTCTCGCTAATTGAGGGGACCAAGAGAGGTCTTAAGTACATTAATTTGATCCCTTGGAAATACACCACTTTAAAGGTCAGGGCGGTCACCGCCCTGATGATCATCAGGATCCAATTGATCCGGCTGATCTTGATTCCAAATACCCTAAAGATCTAGGTAGTCTGTAGGATCCTGATTCTGATGATCCTACGGGTCTAGGTGATCCGATGATCCTGACCGGCAGGATTGATCCTAAAACGCGAAGTTGATCCCGAAATGCGACAGCTGAGATATAGCGGGGGTGCGGGACACTGGCGGAAGTGAGGAAAGACAGCCAGATATGGATTCTATTCTACGCTCAAACTCTCGTCATATACTTGAAGTGATGTTAGGTCATTGTGTATGGTAACATCTAGTCGTCATTAGATCAGATGGTCTCATCAAGCTGGGAAACGTTTATAATCTATTGGCCACGTCAATGTACTGATTCGATGTATGGTAATCAACATAATACTTAAACCAGTCCTAGCTCCCAAGCCATATCCGTGGTGCTTTCCTGACGTGTCGTTGAATACCTCTCTTGGGTTGCGCCAAGCTCGACAGCCATCCATTATCATAGTAGCCATCCAAAGAGACCCTAGCCACAGTCGTTGCTCTGAAAGGCACAAGGGGACAGTAAGCTGCATTCAAGGCCGTGTCCGAGATGGCAGATCTCTTATGAAGTGAAGAGAGTTTGAGGTGCAGGTAATTATGCTCGAGATACTCGACTTGACCTTGGGCCCCTGTCACTCTAGTTACGGTGTCATTCGCCACGTAATCGAAGGTCGAGTCTGTGCAGGATCAGAACCCGTAGTTACAGGGGGATGCCATTACCACAACGACCCTAATGAGTGGGATAATTGACGGGGCGCCAAGATGCCCATATGGAATTGTTAGCAGACCCGCACATCATCCAAAAAAGAATACATGGGAAAGACAGCCGCCAAAAAGCCACCTGCAACCGTGACGCCCAGGTTCCAGAAGGAGTGCTCAAAAAGTAAATCAGATTGCAAATGACTAAGTCATGTAGATCTGTAGATCTTACAGTCTATTATTTGCACTTTTTCAGGGGGTCTGTGTGCCCCGTTGCCTTTTTGTGAAAGGAGCTCCGGTTCTTCATTCGACTTTTGAAAAAGCTTTTATTAGGATGTCGCTTGCTCATATTTTATTCCACTCTTCTATGATTCCTCTCCTCATCTCATGCTGTGCGGTCTTTCCATTTTTCTTGAAAGCCTCTCGAGCTACAATCATCATATCTATTGGACCTGCTTGCTTTATTCAAGTCATGCGAGCAGCAATGATTGAGGAGTGGATAGCGGCTTCCGCCTTGGATATTCCTGAACAACTTGCCGACGAGCACGATTCGATACCCAAAGAGGCTGATCCACGCAGCCAGAACGATTATGGCCGGGAAACGAGACCAATAAAGCCAATGGGAGTCATTCGTCAACGAATTAGGCTAAAGAAGGCTGGGGAAAAGATGACTCTGAGTCGCACCGTGACGGGTCGTGTGAGCCTTATCTCTCGAAAAGCGACGTTTAGACTTCATTTACGAACGAGGGAAAGAAGGGCGCTACTGCATCCGCTGTTCCGCCAAATGATTTAAAGGTTGGTTTCCTTAACAACTAGGAGTTGATGGAGTATAGCTGACGTTAGAGTAGCCCCGTGCGTGCCAATATTCATGTATTGTGGTTGTTGGGGGAACTATTGAGTTTCGTGACCATGATTGCGAATGGAGTATCGTGATGGGTGCCTTGGCTGCTTGTGACGGTACAAGAGCACGAACGAGGTCGAGTGCAGCTTGGGCAAAATGATTGTTTACAAGGAGAGAAAGAGATTCCTAAGGAAAGCTCTGACTTAAGCTATTTACACAATATTCATAAAGTGAGACTATTCATAAAGTATGAAAGTCACATGATCGTTCCCTCACAGGTCCATCCAGAAAGCTATTAGGGCATGCTTTTTCCTTTCTTCAATTAGAGACCCGCCTTGAGATCAAGGACACTTTTGCCTTTCTTGAACTTTGAATAAAATGCTATTGTAGCAGCTAGTATCCCTTTTTCTATTAATTTCTTATGCACATTAGATCAGAAACCATTTGGCTAGTTGATCTAATGCACTTAAACTGACATTTTGCCTTGAGTTCTCGAGATATCCTGTTCGAAGGTGCCTGCCTTATCTGTCTAGGATGGGTGCCCATCGCTAGGCAGATGTAGCTCATAATTACCACTCAATTCAATAGGTATTAGATACAATAAAGACTGCCCACACTGTAAATCTTGCATCCGTTTCAGACAACGGATGCTGACATACCCTAGAGTCTAATATACTCCCTTATGCTGATTGGTCCATCCTTATCAATTTACAATGACAAGCCTGCTTGAAGGCCAAGGGTCAGGAAGCGGTCGGTATGTCCACCATCACGCACGCAGATTCTAGCCTAAGCGGACACGCATACGACGTAACCCCTTTAGGCAGATCGGCCTCAGTCGAGGCTCGAGTGCGCTTATGCGGTCACTCCTACACGAGGAAAAGCAGGGTCTGATAATTACAAATGGGCAACCGACATGCAGGCAGTACTGACGACGATCAAATTCGCAATCGCAACGGGGCGGCTTGACGTGGACCCGAGGCCATCGGCAGACTAACCATTCATATCAAATCATACTAACATCATATAGCCTTATTTTGACAGACCGGGCTTCAGCTGCTGAGGATAGGGGACGGCTCCACTCAGTTACATGACACAGTCACCGATCATACGCCTTCGCGGCCCCACAGGCGTCCCACGGCGGATCGAACATCTTCAACTTCCATGGACCGGGCGCGCACGCGAGTAGCCTCGTTCCTGCCGTAGAGCCGCAACGGATCGATCATCGTTACATCGCGCGACATGGATGTGGCAGAAAGCGGATGCAGTAATCAACGTCCCTAGTTATAAGACTAACATGCAATTTAGCCCCGGCGAGGAGAGGAAAGCATTGCTCAAAGTGGATATTTTCATCTTGCCCTGCATCGTGCTTTGTTTCTGCTTCCTCCAATTCGACGCACTAACATCAGCAATGCTCTGACGGACACCCTGCGGCAGGATATCAATGTGAGATGAAAGCTTAGGGTTCGGGTTAGGGTATTCTTGTTCACAATACTCACAAACTCTCAATATGACTTTATACAGTTATATGACTAGTATACATACTTATCATATAGAGAGACCCTTTACATTGCTAGAATCCGTCGACAGAATTAGATTGGCTGTTTCTTTATAAGCTATTAACTACATACATAGCTCGACCCACGCCTGTCCAAGCATGTTTTAGTATGCCCTGAGAACTGTATGATGCTGTATTTTTCTTTGTTAGCTAATATGCTATAAAAGCTCATGAATAAAGGAAAGACTTACCCACTCATTGCCATTATAGCCTTCCAATATCGTGTGGACAAACTCCTTATAGCCCGCCGTAGTAGAAAATGCATAATGCGCCTCTCTAGACTCCCACCCAATGAGCATCATCGCTCCTCTACCCTTAGGTTCCGTAGGGGTTTTCTGGATTTCTTCCACTACAGGCCCCCAAACATGGCCGTAGTGTCCGTCAACGGGCACTTGAGTAGAGCCGACTAAGAATCTCTCGATCCGATCAGAGAAATTCGGCTCTGTGTTATAGAAAGTGCATAGCTCTAGAACAGGAGCTTTCCCACAAGGTGAAATCGGAAACGAGGACGGCTCCAGATGATGGACGTTAGGAGCTCCGCTCGTTAGGCTGTTTAGACTCTCGATAACATAAGCATAGTCGTCCGAAGCTGCGAATTCTTCATGCGCATTCGGTGCCCAGTCTAGGACAGATATCAGTCAGGACACCAGAAAGGTGTTTAGATGGTCAAAGTAGATGGGTAGTCGAACATACCAATAAGCAGCTGTGTCAGTGAGGGATCCTCAAGTGAATTGCCATAGTATAAGCCATGATAACCTGGCTGTTTAGCGATCATAGCCATTATCTCCTGCCAGAGTTTGTGTGCTGAGTTATTCTTGTTATCAACATCCACTCCCTCCATAAAGTGGAATGAAGCAACTGCAGTAACGGATTTTTCGGATGCCATTTTCTGATAATTGCTAGAATAGCGTAAAGTATCGTCAGAGAACTGTGCTCATAGGATACGAAACGTAACTATGCAAGAGAAATCCGAACTGATTTATAGACCTATCTCGGCTTCACCGGGCTGGGGTAGAGATGGAGGCAGGAGATAACGGTCGTTAACACCGCACTGAGAAGGAGCTCGGGGTTTTACCAGGGGCCGACGTTTGGAAGGTGAGCCTAATAAGCTTTCTATGGAGTGGGTCGCCGGCGGTGCTGTACGAAAACACAGACAAAGAGACTTTCCCCTAGGCTAGAATGAGAAGAGAGCCATCAAGATCTACGCTCCTCATGGTGGTCATGGTGAAAACCGCCGAGAATTACCGAAGTAGACGTCGTTTTCGGGTCGGCTTTATCTGTCGGCTTCGGCATAGATTAGACCGAAGCTACTAGTCTTGATGGACACAATCAAGTGGCAACGGCTGAAGTGGATAACTTACATGCCACTGTCTGAGCTTAGGTTGTTGGACGTCGCGTCTCCCTTATCGAGCCTCGGATTAGATGGGGCTCGGTCTCGCTCATTTGACAATTAATTCGCCGAGGCCGAGGCAGTGGCCTGCCCAGAAGACCTTCCTGCATAAATGAAACCTGTTCTTGTGGCAAATTCTGTCCCCTGCCTGTGGACTAGGTGCTGATACTTGGAAGGATTCCTACCATATCCATCCAGTCACGGCCCCAATCATCGAGCCGCAGGACGGGACGTTCCTGTGCTGTATGCTGTCGCCGGAAGGTCCGTTGCGACAAACAATCGCCGTGTTCTCAATGCGAGCGAGGCGGGTATTCGCGCTGTTGTCCACCAGTTATACCGCCAATCCGCCGCGCTCGGAGAATAGCCCTAACAAGGAAGCCTTACTCAGAAAGGGGACATCAAGTCAATACATTAATGAAGTACTCTTCTCCTATGCCACTGAATGGTCTGGTGCCTCGCATCCCTCGAGATCTACTCAAATGGCCATCTAGGGGCACGATGTTCGAACAGCCTCGGTAACTCCAGGAAATGAATCTCCATAACTATTCGCTACCTCGCCATTTGGTTCCATGGGCATTCTCCATGCCTTAGCAGTATATCAAATGCAAGGACCAATACAAGACGGTCTACTGCCTAGGCATGGATCCGCGCATCATAGAACACAGAGGGCACGTTTGTCAGCCCGAGAGACAGGCCGGTTGTTGTGTGGTTGGTGCTGACTCATGCAGAATGCTGAGGCAATCCCATTGCATCTACCCGAATGTCGCGAAACGCGGCTCCCAGTGTCTTGGGCGGCACCGTAGCCCAGCCACCACCTATCATCGCATGTGTATGTGCATGCAGAACTCGGCTTTCCACCCACACGGCCCAAGGATAGCGACTCAGAGCCTCCTTGAGACCTCTACGAGGTATTCTGTATGCAAGCCCGCCACCAGATTAGGTCGTCTCTGCAGCAGCTACCGAGGTGGAGGTGACCACGAAATCTGGGTAGACTTTCCACGCTTCAGACGCAATCTGTACCGTGCCTGCACTGCCTCGGCGATGTGAAATTTTCCCCACCCCTCCATGGGTATGGACAACGACCCGACACGCTAATATGGGCGGAAAGGTCCATATTCACGCCAAAGAGAAAGTTCCCGCCTGGTTCGGTCTTCGTGACGAGACCGCCAACGTTTCTGCCTTGTTTACGGAGTCGCCATCATCTCCTGGAGGAAGGGCAACTTCGGGAAATACATGGTCCCGGACACTCCGAGAGTAAGTACGCTGACGGTAGGTATTAGAAAACTAGGAACCCTGTGGAACTTAAAATCAACTCCTGACCTTGTAGCTACTGATAATTTAACGCCACTTCGGGAATCACCTAGTCCCCGAGGCTCCGAGAGCGGGTGCCTTTACTCTAGGTATCGGTACGCTAGATATCGGTACGCTGGATCGTCCGCGGGGCTTAATGCTAGAGTAGGTGGATTAGAATTCGCTTAACTTGAATCCATGCCCGGAGTTAATGTAGTTCGGACATATGGCGAAACGCCGGTGGATATACGAATTAATTTTCGCAAAGAATATTGAAGTGTATGAAGCCGTTTTATTAAGACTTGTATAAATAATCGATACATACCGCATGACTTCGTAAAATAGTACTGAGCACCTCATCATGGATCTACCTGACCAGAAGTTATACAACCTTCCTGCCGACGCAGTTTGGTTTAGTAAGTTAACATCAGTCATCCTATCGGGCGAGAATTAACTCGAAATGAACAGTAACCGGCTGTTCGTCAGGGCTAGGCCAGTCTCTCGCTCAGCTAATTAGCAAGCATGCGACCCACCGCTTGGTTGCTACAGCCAGGCGACCCAGCGCCATGTCAATGATTCCAGACGGCCCTAATGTCCTCAAACTTGCCCTGGATGTCACCTCCCAAGATTCTGTCGACACCGCGACCGCCGCGGTGCTCGATAAGTTTGGCCGTATTGATGTGCTCGTCAATAATGCGGGATACTCTGTTATGGGAGATTCGGAGTCCACGACCGATGAGCAAGCTAGACAGGTCGTTGAGACTGACTTCTGGGGTACGGTGAAGTTAACCCTTCAAGCAATGCGGATCATGCGGGAGGAGAACCCCAAGACGGGTTCGTGCGGAGGGGTGGTCATGAACATCACGTCGGTTGGTGGATTCATCGGTCTTCCCGGCAGCGCCTTCTATAGTGCGAGCAAGTTTGCTGTGGAGGGCTTCACGGAGTCTGTCTCTCAAGAAGTACGTCCGGAATGGAACAGTAGGTTCCCCTTTGGAGAATGGCTATCTTCCAATGCTGATAACCTCAAGTTCACTTCTGCCTAATCGAGCCTGGAGGCATCGCGACCAGGTTTACGGGCTCAATGGTTCGAACAGCATCTCACCCTGCCTATGCGGCTGCAGACTCGCCTGCCCGGGTCCTCGAAACATACATCTTAAACGAGGATAATCAAAAGACATGGTCTTCGCCAGAATCGGTTTCTGCAGGCATGTATGAAGTTGTGAGCCGCGGTCAAAGAATTCCTCTCAGAGTCCCGCTCGGCCCAGACGCTTGGGGCTTGGTTAAGGAAGAGATCAAGCATATCGATCAAGACCTTGATGAATTGAAGGATTTGAGCTGTCGGGTCGGCAGTGCACAGCAGTTTGAGTCTATCCAGTTCCTTAGGAAGGCGAATTAAGTTATAATTAAGTATTAATATATCTTACTTACGGGCCGTAAGGTGCAGGAGCGGATCGGAGGTTGAGCATGTTAGCTGACGCCGGTTTTGACTGGCCGCCTCCATGGTCGTCGCAAAGGGATGCGTTGCTGGCTCTTATAGTAGCATACAGATGAGGTGGAGCTTGAGATGTCATGGCTTGTAGATTCTACGTGCATATCCTGTTTAGACGTCCCGCCACTCACGGCATGCTAGGATCTCCCACGACGCTTCAGTTTCGTACAGTAATGCACCTGTAGACTCTCGACAGACCGCCCCGGATAGGCCTTACTGAACCGCTGGTGAATCTTGGGCCACGCCAGCATCTCCCTGCCTTCCTTTAACTCGATGAGAAGATTATCTTCCTGTGAGGTGTATTTGGCTCTTGGAGCTGAAGCACGTTTGGCTCTGCTCCTCGTCTGTGTCGAGGGTAAATCAACTTGATCTTCAACGGTGCTGCTAGCATGCCCACGCTTTGTACAAGGAGTCCAGTCGAACTGTAACTAGAAAGTTGTTCTGCTGTTCTCGGTTATGCGCTTGAGCGAAGCATTCTCAAGCGGCCATTCCTCAAACCTGGCGAGAACCGCCCTGACTTCGGTCTCATCGGACGTCGCCTGGGATGACACTGGGCTGAGAAATCTTTAGTACCCTTCAAAGACTTGAGGCCAACGGCGACATCGCCAGCGAGTCTCAAGCGGAACTGGATCAATTAGACCCTAATACCTTCGAAAATATCTTGCTGTCGAAGACCAAACTTACAAGTAGGCAGGTGCTCCCTCGAAATCACTGCTGAATAGTGCTATTTGTGTTCCAAATGCAACAATGGAGTCGTTCTCTGGAATTGGCATATACGCCCAAGTAATGGATCGCTGACGTCGACGGGAAAGGCAACGATATGTCGCCTCGGGGCATGGGGCTGCCTTTGTATGAGCATGAATGGCATAGACGTCCCCGAGACAGAAGAAGAGGGTAATTCCGGTTGTTTTACACAACTCGATCGTTCGGAAATGCGTGGAGCTGGTGATGTTTGCTGGGTAAAAAGGGCATTGCTCTATCACAGGGGGTATTGGTGTATCCCAAATCTGAAGGCCATGACATGTTTCAGGCAACTCCAAACGTAAAAATCCAAATTGGCGAGACATCAGCATAAGTTTTCGGCTGTTGGAGGGTATTACCCACCTTGAAGCGTGCTGTGACACCCTGGAGGTAGCTCTGTTCCAGTATGACGAACGCGAGGCTGTCAGTTCGCCATCTTTGGAATCGTGGTCTCTCAGGTAGTCTTTCGATCTCTCTGATCCCATACGAGTCGATTGTCAAACGGAAAACCGGCAGTTGACGGACTGTCTTTGATAATACCGGTGGACCACGTTTCCACGCCGAGACAGTACACAAGGGAACTGAGAGGAGTTCATCCAAAGAAGAAGTGGATAGTCGTCGAACAAGGTCGAGAGCTCCGCTGTACCGCCAAAACAGACTCGTCGCCGAATAGCCATGAACCATACGAAGTATTTCTGGGGTAAGGACCCTCATTCTCGGTATGCCAAGGTCATCTGCTCTTGCCAAATCTAGCGTGATAGCCGGTTCCTCGAGGCGGAGATTGGGTGCTTGACGCCACGGAGTCCGCCAGGCAGTAGCAATCCAGAGGTGGTCCAAATAATCGTCCAGCTTGCATCGTTGCGCGACAACGTCGAAGCAATCTAAGTGTACAGTAGATGCCTCGGGTGAGATGACACAGCGGCTGCAACCGGGTTTTCGACACAGGTAGAGGCCGTTCTCGTCTCGAAGATTAGGGCCATATTCAGGGAAAATGCAGGGACTTTGCGGTGCGAATACGCGGTCGAGCCGTTATTACCGAGTACTACCCAGGTAGGAACTTGCAATCAGAATCGGACTTCAGTGAAAGGGAGCAATTCATTTACGGACTTACGTACTACAAATCGCTTACTGACTTTCATTAGGCTGCCACATGCACCGCAGTGCGGTCCGAGGCCAAGATGGCCGTCAAGTTCATCGAGGATTGCCATGGCCAACAAGGCGCGTTCTGGAGAGTCGGGGGCGTTATTCGTAAACCTCAGGAGATTGTGCAAGACAGGCTTGCCATTAGGTCTTCATGGCCGCCACGGCTTGCCTCGTGGGGAGACGATAAGGGACCGGAAGTAAGTGGATGCAACGAATGTCGCGAGATGTGAGACGTGATGTTTGTTCATGCAAATGCAAGCACCGGATTAACTTATGTTCCACTCCCGCCAGCAGACTGTAGGAGATTTACCTGAGGAATAGCGCCTATTAAATCGCAGTAGTTACCCTATAACCCGGCCAGCACTGTCAAAGGTCACACGAACATCGCATCCATCCTTGTATTCTTACTTTCTTGGCATGCAAATGTTAAGGAAGTGGCCCTAATTACACCTTTTACCTTAACGAGTGTGCACCAAACGACCAAATCTGCGCTCCGCGCAGCCTCTGGCGGTGGCGATGGCATCGTCCACAACTAGCCCGCCCGCTGCCCCAGATCCCTGCGATCTGGGAATCCATACTCCTGCCAATCTGAATCGAGGAGCCCGTGCAGCCCTCTTGCAAAACAGCCCCGCTGTCGTGAATGGCCCAATAGGTAGCTCACCCGCTTTTGTGAGGACGGCGCAGACGCCACCCTCGCCGCTCAACACGATCTCTCATACTGCAGCCACCGAAGGAGCTCAGCACGCCTCGCCTTCCACCTCGCCCAGCGCCGCTTGGCCCCCGGATCGACAACCGGTTTCTATTACCGACATAGCAAATAGGCTCGCGCGTGATCGCGTGGAGGAGCACAACGCCTAGCTGAAAGTGTTTGAAGCCTTTTGCGCTTCATTCGAAGAGACTGCTAAACGATTCACCGCTGGACCCGAGCGCCATTTCGCACAGGAGTTTGCCAATGGCTTCCTGGCATTCTGGAATTAGACGCTCCTTGGCACCAAATCTGCCCCTGCGCCTACCTATAGCAGTGTCGCGGCGACGCACCCCGCCGCAAACATCGCCCCTGCCCATCAACATCAGCAACAGCAGGCGACCCGACGTCTCCAGGGACAACCAACCCCTATCCCGCCCCGAGACGACCTCCGAGTCTTTATCCGGCTGGAAGCCGACGCCCCGGCCAGGAACAACATCAGCTACGCGATCCGGACTCATATTTCGGGAAAACTGGGGATCGACCTGCACCGAATCCCACAGGCGGCCCGAGTGAACTCCGGATGGGCCGTCCGGGCGACCGACCGACCTACCCGCGATCTCCTTGTGCAGCGACAATCTGAGTGGACGGAAGATCTAGGGGCTACCGCTGTGGAAATCAGCCAGAAATGGTTCACCTATGCCGTCCCGGAGGTTCGCCGAAAACTGATAGACCTGTACGGCAACGAAGTGGATTACGACACCGCGATGAGGGACGAGATCACCTGCCAGACTGGGCTGAAGCCTGTGAGTCCGCCCCTCACGACATAACTCGGATGACCATCCGACATGGACCCTACTTATATCCTTCCTGGAGCCGACCCGGAGATACTGGCGACTATTCGACAGCCGACCCGCCAGACTCATTGTCAAAACCAGCCTGCCAAACCAGTGCGACATCTACTGGGACTACCATGCTCCGCGCGACTGTGGCAGACGAGCCCGCTGCAAACATTGTGGCAAGACAGACCACGACGTTAAAGCATGCACCACCCCAGAACAATGCACGAACTGCCTCGGACCCCACGATGCGGACTACTCAAAATGTCATGCTCGCCCGAAAAGAACCCACGGCATGCTCCGCAGCTTGACCAAGGAGGAAAGGAAGCCCGCTCGGGAACTGGGCATCGAACTGTATCGTCAACGCAACCCCGAACCGCAACAACACGGCCCAGAGCCACCACCAGATGACTCTGGGTCCCAAATGCGATCAAGCCCCCCGACCACCAGCCCGGCTACCAGCCCAGCCGCGTCAAGCTCGCGCTCGTACTTCATGGTGTCCACGACCCTGGGAGTAGAGGAAGAGCCCGAACACCCAAGGCCCGGTTCCCCCAAGAAGCGACGCATTGTCCTCATCACACGCCCTAATGAGCACGAATAGACGCCCTCAAGCCACCACAAACAACAAAAAGACCCTCCGGGTCTTTCAGGCCAACGTGGGCAAGGTCCCTCCCGTCCACGACTGTGCCCTCGCACTGGCCGACTCTGAACGATACGACGTTGTCCTCCTACAAGAACCGTGGACAGCAATTGCAGACTCGCGCTGTCTCACGAAGACGCACCCGGCATACGACACCTTCTCCCCAGTCGATACGTGGAGCAACGCAAGTACTCGACCTAGAGTTATGACATACGTCCGCCGAGACTCCGGGCTTGTGGCGGAACAAAAACGCCCATTCCCGATCCGGGACGTCCTGTGGCTCACGGTCAACAACACGACGATAGTCAATTTCTGCCGCCAAAACGACGAAACTGACGCATTAGATACCCTATTACAATGGCCCATCCCGGACCGCTGTCTTGTGGCAGGAGACTTCAATGCCAAACACCACACCTGGCAGACAGTCCGATCAGTAGACCGAGGCGGCGACATCGCCTCTTGGGCGTCGGAAAACGACCTCAGCTTGCTGAACTCCATCGACGTGCCTACGAACCCCCACGGGAATACAATCGACGTCGCCTTTACGAACATACCCTTCGCGGAAGCTACTGTGGAAGATCACCTCGCCACGAGCTCTGACCATTTTACTATCAGTATACTACTCCCTGGCATCAGACTGGTCCCATTGCAACCAGGCAAAATCCGCCTCGCAACTGACGATGAGCTCAAGCGCTTCGTGGAAATTGTGGAACTAGGATCATCAGGGATCCCCGGTGCCGCCTCGACCCCATCTGAGCTGGATGAGCTTGCGTCGTCGCTCACGAACCTCTCGCAGGCGGCTGCAAAGACAGCTGGCCGACCCGCGCGAAAGGGGGCACACAGCACTCCTTGGTGGACCGAGTCGCCTAGTCAACTTGTTGGCTTAGTCCACTTCCTGCCCAAGTCCACATCCACTTCCGTGTGCTCTGCTCCACTTTTCGCTCTGCTCTACATTATGTTATTGGATACGGCCCTACGCCTTACGCAGGAACAAGGTACTCCTACCGAACGATTCCGTAAAGGAGACCTCATAATTATGTAAGCCTAGCCATGCTTGCCCCAACGGCAGTGCTTCTGAGGGAAGCCAGTTTTTTCGTCCACTTCTTGCCATCGTCCAAATGTGTCCTTGGAGCACCAGCGAGAGCTTGCGAAGAGTTACACAAGCACCCTTCCTTGCTGTCTGCTCCTGTTGGCCAGTCCTGGCCTGTTTCACAGTGGGTTATCTCTACCCCGGACCTGATATCTGACAAAAGAGGTATAGTATTGGTATGAGATAACTGCCGTTAACCATGCGCTGTAGTCGTAAGCTTCATTTCTGTCCGATAATCATATCTGATCCAAAACGGTCAACCAAATTTGCCGTGGTGGCCAATCGGCGTTGTCACTTATGTGATTAATAGACCGTTATCTCCGGGTTTCTCGTTCTTTTCTTCTCTTGCCGTCTGCTTCATACGTTTACTGGACGGTTGATAGATTTCATCTTCAGGGCGCAATCAACGGAGTCATTACGGATTTTTCTCTACATCCTCCATATTGGCTTAATCGCCTTCGCTCCATCTCTCAGAGAATATACCTGCAGGGTGCTGATGGAGCCTGTTCGGCCATCGCGAAAACGCCGACGACCAGCGCTAACATGTCTGGAATGAAGGCGCCGAAAGATCAAATGCGACCGGAATAATCCATGTCGTCAGCGTATACAGTCCAAGTCTACGTCCTGCATCTACGGCTCAGCCACACTGAATTCCAGATAATTACCAGAACTTAAGTGGAGATTCCTCGGCCCCTCGGAAGTGCCAGCAAGAGGATCACGAATGTCGGGGGTCTTGGTAATGATCAGCGCGGATGCATAATACAATGGAGTCATTTCGGTATATTGATTGCGCGAAAACCCTTCTTTAAAGTGGTCTTTAGTTAATTACCTCATTAAGCATTCGGTGAATTCTTCCATCTTATCAATCCCTCGGCGGCTGCAATGTACAGATCCAAGCAATTTCACAACTCATGCGACCCAAAAATGGCCCAAGAAATCCGGTCGGCGAATTGAAGCAGTCGGTCAATTCAATATCCCGTCGCCACACCGCCTAAGAGCCGGGGATGATCACAGTCCGGTACTTTTGTAACTCCGTTCCAGGCGCTGCCAGTTCGGGCCTTCAGGAAGCCCAATAATTTCATCTGAGGCATGATCCGATTGGGGGTCCTCGGCCGGCTAGGGACAGATCAAACTGGTGTAATCCTAGCGTATGACAAATGTGGTGTCGGAGCCTTGGAATGAATTGCTCCAGCACAGGGCAGCCAGAACCCCCGAAGACCGATGACAGCGCACAATTGGTCTCAGGGTCATACTTGCTGACAAATGACAAATCATGAGGAAGCAGTAGATAAGGCTTCCCTGTCGCAACTCTGATAAAAGGCCGCTGGGTCTGCATGGATTCCTCAATCATCAGCCCTGTCCTAAGGCAACTCACCCGTTTATCAGCCAAACTCAACTACGACGATGGGGGAGAAGCACGGTCCAAACACCCAGCGCGGTAATGCGGTCTGGTTGCACGCTCCAGAAGTCATTATCTCGTCCACTTCCACGAAAGCTATACAAGTCGCCTTCGCAGCCGAAGCCGTCCTAAACATCGCCATTGCCTGGCCCTACATCCTTGACCCTCACTCCACGCTACGAGACCAACTCATGCAAGCAACGCCCAGTAACCCACAAGGGATCCCATCGGCCGAATCGGCATCTCTTCTTCAGTGGATCGGGATGTGTACACTGACTATGAGTGTGCCCTTGATTCTCGGAGTGCCAAACAAGCCAGGCACTGTGGAGGTCCGGAAAGCTGCGTACATCACCATAGCGGCGCTGGAGGTGCTTTGGATTTCGGCTATTGTGTGGCAGGGGGCCGTTTTGGGCGATACCATCAGTGGATTAAATGGCGAGAAGTGTTTAAGGCAGTTTGTTGTTCCGATGGGTTCGTTCCTACTATTCCGGTGTTGGGTCCTATTGGTGAAGCCACACTGGCTGGGGATGTACGGGTCTAAGACAGACTGAGTGCACCCTTTGGTGCCTCCAAGTTAAGACATGGAATTATCATTATAGCGGCCAGCAGACACTGCATCGAGTTCCTCTGACCTTGGGCGGACGAGGCTAGGTCCATCAGACTTGGTAACCTCTTCTCAGGCCACCCCGCACAAAGCGGCATTGAAGAACTCCTCACCTCGGCACAAACCGGCTCCGGCGACGATCCCTGCCCTCCAGATGGCACTCTGTCGATCGAAGAGCACCATCCCTTGCCTTGACATTTGGACCGGCACGCCCGTGATTTGGTGTACCATCAGCAAGTTGAGATCACAATCATGCAGAAATTTGCCAGTAGCAATGACAGAACAGTTGGGGGATACCGGACGTATAAATAAAGAACAACATAGCTGCGTATCCTTCTAATTTGAAGCCTGTCCCGTGTCCCACATCTTGTTTCAAATCCCAAAGTCATTTTCATATCTCAAAATCTGTCCCATATCCCAAATCAATCTCTAGATCCTCGCCGGTAAGCATGAAGGATCTAACCCTGTATGATGTCAATGTCGCCAGAGGCGGCCATTTTGAGGACGTTCTTTCGTTTACTCCTGCTTTGCTCGCTTGACGGTTGAGTTACCATACAAGGCAATCTCTGGAGATATCTTCCGCTTTGATGCCCCGAGGGAAATATTATCAAGGCACTGGGACTCAACAGCTGTCCCCAACTTCTCCTGTTGTCGGTTGCTTTGCCTGCCTGTATAAATATCTCCAACAGAAACTGCGTCGTCGCTAGGAGAGCTAGTTCTCGATCTGTCAACCAGGTGCTCGTAGCCTCGCAGTCTCCGAAGCCAACTCTTCTCTTCCTGTTCTCCATCATCCGGTATCTCTAGGCATCTCTGGGCCATCTCCTGAAGCTCCTCAAAGCTGATTGTATCCCTGAACGAGCGATCCTTATGAACCTTCAACACTCGTGGAAATCGCAGAGCAAAGTACCCAACATTCGCGGGCTTGTCGAAGCCAGCACCGACCACTTCTACTATAAACGGATGCTTGAATAGCTCCACTGGCTGTAGCCTCCGTGTGGGCTCGAATAAGACATCGAATTCAGGCATAGACTTGACGAATGGTGCTCGTGTGAAGCATCCATGACGGCACTTAACGCCCCATGTGCCCTCCAAGCCATGCCATAAACTTCGTTCCGAAAGGCGTTGGCGGGCCCGTAGGGACCGGTCACCCGTTACTCGTGCTGCTACTCCAATCCCAAGCGTGGTGTGATGAATGCTAAACTTTCCAGCCACAAAGCTGAAGGCAGGGCAGACCCGGCAATTGGGGGCAACTCGCGAAACGTGATTGGCCCGGGGAATGGTCCAGGCGGCCCAGACCCTCGTCCTCCCAAAGAACCACGAAACAACGCTTCTTCCCCGGGCTGGCGCCCCATGGGAAGTGGAGATTCGGTGGAGGGCCCGCTAAGGCCCCTAGTTAGCCAGTAGCCACAGCGGACCGTGGGGTCCTGTTTCCAGGGGTGTCACGCCAGCTGCAGGGTTAACAAACCTTCCCAAACTGACTCGAAGAGGCAATTCCCCTATCTGGTCACTTCCCATTTCTTCCCTCCCCCGACATCATCATCACCCTCCTCGCCTCCAGTTCAGACTCTGGGGTCAGCCGTTCGTCTCCAGTCTCCAGCCTCCAGCCTCAGCGCGCCCCGGTCCCCCCTAGTACAGACCGTACAGTGCTATCTGTACTTCATGACATGACGGCTGCCTGAAGCCCCTGCCTTGCCTTGCACCATGCAGGCGACGAGGACCTCGACGCTGAAGCCGCTGAATCCCTGTAAAGTAGGCCCACTGCCCTAATCTTGCCCGTTCCGGGTCGATGGATGTACCGTGGCTTCACCGATGAGGCTGTTGGCTGGATCGCCAACTTATCGTAGAATCCTGGACCCATGAGGCCTCATTTTAGGACGTCCCGTCCAACTCACAAAATATTCGACTTGCCCACCACTAGACCGTTTATCAATGAAGAGCCTGAGCTGGCAACACGTCCCCAGCACTCCTCATATCCCTCGGGCTGATCCTCCATGACATCCCGAATTTCCCAAGCCCAACTTCCTACCCTGGTACACGATACCCTCGCTATCAACAGCCTCAAACACGCCCGCATCCAGTTTATGGACCGAGTCGATGGTCGCAGACTTGAACTCGATGGTCTCATAGCGCTTCAGCAGGTCCGCCTCGGCCTTGGCTCGGAAGTCGGCCGGGTCTGTGTGGTCGAACCCAAGGACGTTGTGCATGTACTTTGTTCGCGCATTCCGATACGATCCCGAGTCAAGAACTATGGCAATATACAGCTGACGGGCAAGGCCGGTAGCCATGGCCAAGCCGGCAGGCCCGCCGCCGATGATGAGGACGTCGTAAAGCTTCGCCGACATGGTGTTCGAGATGGTGCAATGTTTCCGGAAGGGTTTTCGTGCGATAGAAGACGATATTTATATGTGAAATGGATGTCATAATGAGGCTCTCTGTGGCCAAGATTGTCAGCTTATGTCCTCCCAGAAATCCAGATGTCTCCGGCCGGAGACATTGACCCACTGGCCCAGATCCGGGTGGGGCCCTCGGAGACATTTGGGTTGCCTGCTTGGGTATCCGTAGTCGGAGCAAAGACGACCTGGGCCTGCGCAAGCCAGGGAATTAATAAATGCGCCAACGAACAAGTACAAGAATGACAACGCTCTATACAAAACTATACAAGTGATGAAAACGAACTTCTAAAGCTTGCTAATCTAAAGCTTGCTAAGAAGGAGGCACGGGATACAACACGGTGGGACACCTTCCAACAGACACAGGTCCCTAGAATGCGATCAACGACACTCATCGCGGCGCGAACCAAACAGGGTACCGACAGATGCTTACCGGAAAACGTCGGAAAACATTCCAAAAGAGTCGATGCAGCGCTACCGGGCAAACACACACGGCGGCTCTATGACGAGCTGTTATGGAAGGAAGCCAGTATGCTCGCCCAGCTTAGGACAGGCATGGCAAGATTGAACGCGTACCTATTCCGAATTGAAGCGGCACCGTCAGACCACTGCGATTGTGGACAAGCGAGAGAGACAGTTGAGCATTTCCTTTTCCCATGCAGAAAGTGGACGACACACCGACCAGAGTTGCTTGAATACACAAACACGCAGAGAGGCAATATTTCATTTTATCTGGGAGGAAAATCGCCATCAGATGACCGAAGCTGGACCCCAAACCTCGATGCAAGCTATTGATCAAGAGTGAACTGTCCCACTAACATTTACATACAACCTAACCTAGACCTTCAACCCGTACCATCCATAGTAGGCACCACTTCAGCCGCCGTAGATAGGACACTGAACACTTGAAGAATGGCCTTCAAGCTCGTTTGCTAATAATAATACTAACCCACGGGAATCCGCAAAGAGATGACAGATGAAGGAGGACACAAGCGAGAAGTGGGCTTAAGGAAATTAGGACATAATGGAGAAAATGGACATGTATATTAGTAATAGTTGCCCTTTCGGCGTAGCCGCCGGGCGTTAATAAATTGTGTGTGTGCGTGTATACAAGACTATGCAAGCGGGTCCGTCAATGGACGCGACTCTGTACACAATGATACAGTAGGGTATCCGCAAGGGTCACGCCCACCCCCGATGCTCAAGCGGCCACAGCCGCGAGCTCCAGCGGGCGAAGCAAGCCTCGGGACATCCCATCCATCCATCCACTCCACCCTTTTCACCTCGGAGCACTTGCGGCTCCCGGGAAGGCTAGGTTTGTGAGGACTAGTCCGTAGCGGGGCTCTCCCGCTGGTACGATGCTCAGAACCCCAACGGCGCACGGGGGGGTTCTGTGGCGGACCTGCTACGAGTCATCACTAGCACAACCCAGGCGTCGGAAGCCGGGGCGGCTGCACTATCTCGGACCTCCCGCTTTGAGGGGAGGTCGTTGAGATCGCTGTCGGAGAAACAATCGTAATCAGAAAGAATATCGGAAACTAAATCGGGCGGCTGTGACGTGTCGACGTCGACGTCAGGCGGTGAGCCGTCAAACTCGTAGATGACGCATAGCGGCGGGCACGGGGGCCGGCAATGGCGACCGTGATAGTGGCGGCAGTGGATCGGCAGGTTCCAAAGAGGCAAGTACATGACGACCAAGCTAGGACATAGCCTCCACAGCTGCGAGAAGTCGCTGTTTTTTTTGGGGGGGTGGGGGGGGGGGTGACAGTCAGGCCTCAGGATAAGACCTCTTGCCGATCTGACTCTTAGTGACCCCATTCATGGGAAGGTTTCGGCTCGGAGATTGACTCACGAATCGTGGATTGTAATAATTATCGGGGGACGTCGTAATTACGCTGAGCCCAGAATTCGGTGAATTCGGTAAGTTCGGTGAATTCGGTAAATTCGCTCCGTTTGTAGTTGAAGGGCTATGACTTGCGCGGCTTGTTTAAAGGGCTCCCGCTTCGTTTTGTGAGGATTAAGGCCAACATCAAGTTCCTTCGTTACTCTCCCGAAAGGCCACGACCTCGTAATATACGACAGTTTTGTCAATCTCTTGAACACCTGCCTCTACTCGTTACAAGACCAGCACCCGCAGCACAGATCATACCATGGCACCACTGAAAGTCCTCATCTGTGGTGGCGGCATTGCCGGTCCTGCTCTCGCTTTCTGGCTCTCGAAGCTGGGTTATGATATCACTGTCGTGGAGCGCTTCTCGTGCCTACGGGCGTCTGGGCAGCAGATCGATCTGCGGGGGCCTGGGATCCAGGCTATGAAGCGCATGGGCCTCGAACAGGCGTTCCGCTCCAAATCAGTCGATGAGACAGGTACACAGTTTGTGGACAGCTCTGGAAGGCAGAGAGGCTTCTTCCCGGTGAATAAGACGGGCGAGGGGCCACAGGGCTTCACCACCGATTTCGAGATCATGAGAGGAGACTTGTGCCGTCTTTTGTACGACGCTACCAAGGACCATGTCGAGTACATCTTTGACATGACCGTCTCAAGTTTTCACCAACATGACGGCGTTGTTGACGTCCGATTCTCAAATGGTTTAGAGGATCAATTTGATCTCTTAGTCGGTGCCGATGGCCAAGGATCACGGATCCGGAGGATGATGCTACCGCCTGACAGCCCGAATCCTTTTTACACTCTCCATATGTATGTGGCATATTTCACTACTGCTCGACAGAGCAGCGACGAACGCATCGCCACGACATATCTTGGGACCAACAAGCGCGTGATTTTCACTCGAAGCCATGATTCGATCACAACCCAAACATATCTGATCTATCCTGACAACTCAGATCAATTGAAAGGCGTCATGAATAGCAAGCTTGAGGAGCAAAAGAAAACCTGGGCTGAACTATACCGGGATGCAGGGTGGGAGGCGAAACGAATTGTCCAGGCAATGCAAGATGACTCAATATCCAACGACTTCTACACTCATGAAGTGGCGCAAGTCAGGATGGGCTCCTGGTCTCGTGGCCGGGTAGTTCTGGTCGGGGACGCCGCCTATTGCCCTTCACCGCTGACCGGAATGGGTACCACATCAGGTCTTGTCGGCGCCTATGTCCTAGCAGGCGAAATTGCGAAGCATTTGAACGACCCCAAGGAAGTTCTCAGTGGCAATCCAGATGGTGAGAAGGATCCTCTTGTTTCCGCACTAGAAGCCTACGACAGTCGATTCAGACCCTTTATGAGCCAGGTGCAAACGCTGGGCCCAGGTCTCTGGATTCCGTCATCGTCTTGGGCTATTGCTGTGTGCAACTTCCTCATTGGCATATTCGCCTTCCTGCACATTGATTATTTGAGCACATATGTCCTCCGCGAGGATGTCAAATGGGACTTGCCTGACTATGCGGAGCTGACACAGCTGGGTTTGTCAGAGTGATGTTGCTTTCGTCAGGGCTGTGGCGAGTGAAAGTGCATTTGGAGGATTATCTCGTTGGAATGTTGGAAACTTGGAAACTGTACGTGAAAATGGAATGTGCTCTTATAAATCTCTCGCCTCAATCATATTGATTCCTCGGTAACGGCTTAGATACGGAAGGGAGAAAGTCCAAACGGCATTAGCGTCCACAAAAGGGTTGGCAACTATTGAGAACTAGACTCCCTTTCCTTGGGTACTATATTCAATGGCAGTACAACACCGAAGGTCTGAAGAGGTAATTGACGCCCAGAACCCTCGATCTCCCAGTCTGGCCTCACTTCTCCCGACATTTCTAATCGCAATCCTCGCTATAAGCCGTGTCGCATTGGCTGAGATACGAGCGTAGGAACTGGAACCATGAACTAATTCCTTTCCTTGCCCTGCCACAATCTGCTCGACTTCAGTGCCGAAAATGCCCATACATTGCTTACTAATTGCAGAAAATACAGGAATGTTGCTAGTGCTATAGTTGGCAGAACTCAAAGAGTCACGGCGGGCTGAAAAGCAACGATTCGGCTGCAGAGTCTGAAGTGTCATAAGAGGTCTAATGTCAGCGTTTTTATTTTTCATCTTGAGTGGCCAGCAGCTGGAGGCCGAAGTGCGGATAAAGTTACTCTCTCATTCCTGGATAAGTTATTAGCCGATGCCGCTAGTCTTAGCCCTGAAATGTACACTCATGTAAAGGGTGTACTAGCGCGAGAACAGGACGGAGGAGAAGCCTGTAGAAGAAAAGGCTGTCGAGGCCCCCGTTGAGGCCAAGCCCGCGCAGGAGTCTCCAGTCGAGACTAAGGCTGCAGAGGAGAAGCCTATCGAGGCGCCCCCCCCCCACTAAACCATACGATGTAGAGGCCCCCGCTGAGGCTTACACTGAGCCCAAGGAGACGAAGACCGAGCAGCCCAACACCGAGGAGGTCAAGCCTGAGGAGCCTAAGCCTGAGGACAAGGCTGAGACTCCCGTGGTTGGCACTGAGAACGGCACTACGGCCGCTGAGAAATGGCAACCAAACCGCTGAAAGCAAGCCTGACGAACCCGCCGCTACCGGCAGCACGGCGACCAAGAAGAAGCTCCGGGTCAGCGCAATTTTCAGTAAGCTCAAACACAAGTTCACTAACGTGAAACAGAGAGGGAACGAATGGAAATGAGCTAATATCATGACGCTTTCATTTCAGTAGCGGATGTTCAACTGCTCCTTAGAGTAACAAAAGGCTAGGCGGAGTCAACATAAAGCAAGTCGCAAGTCACTCTAGGCTTGAATATCGCACTATCATGCCGAAATTCTTTTACTAGGAATGATATACTGAGTCCGCCTATATATCTACCTATTGTTCGTTGACCCAGTCCAATTCAAAGGCGCCAGAATGACTCTATACGTCTCCGACATTTCACTCCATTCACTCAGGCCGGGCATCACTGTTTCGTCTAAGGACATACGGGAGCGGTAGATTGGCTACGCGGCGTGCGTCTAGGGCTAGCGATAAACCCTGGCTAGCCCCAATCTTGCATGTACGGCCTCCTGAAGTAATATCCATCAACCTTGTGATGGGGGTAGTGCTGCAAGTACTTGGATTCAAACTAATCGCCGCCCACCATAACTGACAGAATCTTCCACGAATCATCAGTGCCTCTCTAGCAACAGTCTTCAGTCTAAACTTGTGTCGGTGACCATCATAATCTCCCAGATTGCCTCAACACTGACAAGATGGCCGATTTTACCGGCGCTACCCCTGCTTGTGGCGTCTAGCTCGTATCACCATCGGCAGAGTCCCTGCTTGCCCCATCCGACGTGTTTCAGGTTTTGGCGTCTTTCACGATTGCTTGCTTTATATACCAATACTCCCTCGCTCTGTAGCTGTCCTTTTTGAATGCCAGTCAACACTTGAAGTTTCCTCTTTGAAAGAGGAATTTTGTCCGCTCCTTTCGTTTCGTTATTGTTACTGCTTGTTTCTGAACCGCACTCATTATCATCATGAAGGCGCCGCTCTCGTTCTCTCTTCTGGCCATTCTTGGCCGCGTGTGTGCTAGCCGACATGCCTGCAGCCCTGACCTACACCAGTCTTATCGCCATGGCGATGGCCCTAGTGTTTACGGTCTGAAGGCCGCGGAGACTTCAGCACACAATCTTCGTGCTGGCCAGTCATCTACATTCTCTACAATTGTTTCCATTTCATCTTCTACCGCCATGCCAGTGCTAGCGCAGACCAACTTGACGTCGCATTCATCCCAGGCGTTATCCCCCGCTCCTCTGTCTTCAAATACCTCATCAACGTCATCGGTGATTTCCCAATTCTCTACACCATCGACCCAGAACTTCTCGTTAGTTTCATACCCGACAACCACGGTATCGTCACTAGCGTCTAGCACCTCGGTCTCAAGCTCGGCCGAGCCGACCTCAACCGGCCCAGTTTTGGCACCCGCTTCATTCAACCACCCAGGGCTTCTCCAGTCGGACAAAGATTTCGCTCGCATTCGATCTAAACTAGCCGATGGAGAGGAACCATGGACAACTGCCTGGAACAAGCTCCTTGAGAGCTCATACGCCTCCTCCTCGTACGTACCCAACCCAGTCGCGATTGTATACCGTGGATACGACGGGACGAACGCCGAAAATTATGGCCAGCTGTACCGCGATGTGGCCGCTGCGTATGTGCTTGCTATTCGGTGGGCCATAACCCAGGAAAGCGAGTTTGGCGACGCAGCTTTGCGCATCATGGATGCTTGGTCCTCGACCCTGACAGCCCTCTCTGGCACCGTGGATCTCTATCTCGCCGCGGGTATTTACGGTTATGAGTTCGCCCAGGCCGGAGAGATCATGCGCGATTACGAGGGTTGGTCCACAGCGAAATTTCAGCAGTTCAAGGACATGATGACCAATGTCTTCTACAAGCCTGTAGATGGATGGTTCACGGGACACGAGAACTGGGCATCTTATGCGCCAGGGGTATACGCCAATTGGGATCTGAGCCTGATCGCCTCAGCCATGTCTATTGGTGTCTTGGCGGACGACCCGGCTATCTACAACCAAGGAATCAGCTGGTTCTATAACGGCACAGGCAACGGCCAGATTAACGAGGCGGTTCCTTTCTCGCATTTTTATGACAACCAGCTTCTCGGCCAAACGATGGAGTCCGGACGGGATCAGGGACACAACACACTGAACATGGCGCTCTTGGGTGTTATTGGCCAGACTGCCTACAACCAAGGAAATGACTTGTTTGCCTACAATGGCAGTATTATCCTTGCAGCGTATGTCTCTATCCGTCTCTTGCATTCCCGCCTGCTCCAGATTACACTTACCTTCACCTCTACTTCAGTAACGAAGACAGGCCATTCAGTCGGTTACAGCCCTCTGGAAGGTTGTCAAATATAAATCAAATTCCCGACTTGCTAACATGAATTAGGTCTGAATATGTTGCCCGATATAATCTAGGCTACGATGTCCCTTACACTCCCTACGACAACGGATGGATCGACATGCCGACTATTAGTAACTCGAGCCGCGGGAGCATTAGACCGAACTGGGAACTACTCTACAACCACTACGGTGTTCTCAAGAATGAGAATGTGACATGGACTAAGCAGTTCCGGGACCTGGTCGTCTCGGACAATGGAGGAGCCGAAGGAGGGTCTGGTGATTATGGCCCCAACGGCGGCGGATATGACCAACTCGGCTGGGGAACGCTGCTCTACACCTTGAAGTAGTCAGACTGAGCGATGCACACAGTCGCCCTGTATGGATGCGCACCTACAGTCATTGGATCATCGGCCTTCTGGAAAGGTTTACAAGAAAAGCAAAAGCAATTGATCCTCGAGTGTGGATGTGCGATTCATTTCCATTTTACCTTCTATTTGTGTATTTTATTTAAGAATTAGATACTGAACATTGAGATCTCATCCCCTCCGTCATTTGTCTGGACGTTGTACATATTCCCAAGGTCGAGGGGAGCCAGAGCCACCAAGGACTTGCAAGGCTGTAGATTGTAGAAGTAAAACTACAGCTAACATATGTTACGGCTTGACCCCCTGTAACAGGGCTCGAGGCTTGATAAGACAACTGGAGCACCTTATTGATCGCTTAACCTGCGATCACTGCCCAATCTTTTGCCCTGTGGGGCAACGGCTTAGAGGTGCGCCGTTACATGAAACCACTCAAGTAGTTTCATAATGATACGCTTTGCCGGTACGGTTGGTTCTCTGCCTTCACAGGGGCCTCGTTGATTATTTCCTTTCATATTTGTAGCATGCGGAAATGACGACTGATAGTTTGTGGTTCAAGACATCCGGACTTTGTCCTACCGTAAAAACTCTGTCAACTCGCGCAGCCTAGCGTCTCCATTTTCCCACTGTTAACCGCGAAAACGTCACAAACAGCCTAGTGTATTGGTTCTCCTTCTTTTTATGGAGAAGCTAGGCTGCGCGAGTTGACAGAGTTTTTACGGTACTGTACTAAGGGTCGCTTGTAGTTTAACAAATTATATGCTTTTCGTCTATGCATACTTCCTTATTCCATATTTCCTATTCTAATTACCATTTAGTAATTGACTTTAAGGGGCGAGCCCTGAGTTCTTTCCAACAGAAGGGTTCCGTGTATTGTGTATCTAAAGCTAAAGAGAGAGAGAGGGAGAGAGACCTGTCTTCCTCGAAGCTCTGTCTCTGCTGGGCGCCAGCTAGGGCGGGGCTAGCGGAGCCATGGGTTCTTCCGGGCCTGGCCCCAGCCAGTCCCACAACCATAGTCTCAGCCTATGACATCGACCAACTCGATCTAGGGTAACTAACGATCTCTAATTTCCCTATTAAGTATATACGTATTATAGTGCGACTATATAAGGAAGTAACTTAATGTCCTTAATATAATGGGTTAAGTTAGTGAGTGGAGTTTGGTAATGTTTAAAAAGTGAGATATATTAGAACTTCGCGCCACGACCCATGTGACACAAGCGGTCAGAAAGGGCAGAATTAGGGGCCCATATTTTTCTAGTCACAGCGCACCAATCAGGAGTAGATCACGCTTTTGCCTGGAACACCCACGATTCAAGGATCACCACAACCCAGGACCTCACCCGATCGTCGCCCCCAACCACGGTATATGCACCCCAATGTGCACCACTAGATTAGACCATTGCTCCTCAGCTATTAATACGGCTTGGTTACCTCAATCTATCTGACTGCTACGCATCACTCCGATTGACCATTACCAGACGTAACGTTACCCTATTGCTCAACGACGCCCTGATCCTACTGCCAACATAAACCCTTCGACCGGTTTATCCCTTGGATCCAGACCGACCGTTACAATTAAGCATGACTTGTTACTCCTTTCTGAGGAATTGAATAGATTCAAACTGCTGTGCACTCCCAACCTGACAGCTTAAATCCTTCGACTCATTAAGATCTTGATCAATATGCTTAATCTCTTCCTTAACCAAACCCCAAGCGTCTGGACCGAGCGGGACTCTGAGAGGAATTCTTCGACCGCGGCTCACAACTTCATACATACCTGCAGCCACTGCTTCCGGTGAAGACCATGTCTTTCGGTTCTCTTCGTTCATAATATATGTTTCGAGGATCCGAGAAGGCGAGTCTGGGGCCGTATATGCAGGGTGAGATGCAGCTCGAACCATGTTTGAGCCGGTAAACCTGGTCGCAACCCCCCCAGGCTCGATCAGGCAGAAGTGAACTTATAGAATCATCAGCATTTTGAAGATCAGCGCTCTCCAAAGGTGTACTTACTATTCCATTCCGGACGTACTTCTCGAGAGACGTACTCCGTGAAGCCCTCCACAGCAAACTTACTCGCATTATAGTAGGCGCTTGTGACGGTTCAAGCGCACGAACGAGGTCGAGTGCGACTTGGGCAAAATGATTGTTTACAAGGAGAGAAAGAGATTCCTAAGGAAAGCTCTGACTTAAGCTATTTACACAATATTCATAAAGTGAGACTATTCATAAAGTATGAAAGTCACATGATCGTTCCCTCACACCATCCGCCCTGCCGACTGTGGCTGATTACGACCTGGAATGCCATGAAACATATAGCAACAAGACTGCGAGGAGGTCAGAGAGTCTTAAGTGATTGGAGAGAAGAGGGCTCTGAGTCTGGTCGTCTGGCATGATAGTAGAACAGACGCTAGAGTCAAGTTCTCATTCCCCGCAGTCATGCTTGCAAACAAACAAATAAATCAAATCAAATCGAGCCTCCAATTTGATTTGATTTGGATACGAAAATGATCGATTTGATTTGATTTGATTTGGATCGATTTGGATCGATTTGGATATTTGGATAACCCCACTTTTCTCCCAAAATGATATACAGGCCGTCGCATACTAACTAAGCCTACCCGGTGTGGTTGTTGTGCTAACCACATCGAAGCCCGTGTATATCGCGTCTACCAACGGGTGTTGGAAGAACTGAGGATTCCCCCTCAACTTCAGGATTAAAGTTAAGATTTGAAGTCCTAAAACTTAGATCGTAGGACTTGATCGTAGGACTTTCTAGGACTCAAGTCCTAGAAGGGACCACTTGAAGATATAAGGTCTTAAAGGTCCTTAGATTGCAAGAAGAACAATCACAATAAGAACTACTTTCTCATCAAGTGCACTCAGCATTCCTGCGCAATCCAACAACAACGGGTATAAAAGCATGTACGATTTCGTACTGCCATTTATTTGTTATTTGCTCCTTAGACGATTTCTCATCAATTGACTGGTGCTATCTATATGGCCTCGCACGACTGCCGCCGTGGTAGCTAATGTAGGGCCCGACAATCTGACAGAGCCGTTACCAGACTGGGCAGGATCCCAGGCAGAAGTGGGGCTGACATTCGCCCCAACACGAGCGCTGATTGGGCAACCACTGTATCCAAATGAATCCAAATATCCAAATAAATCCGGGCCTCATGATTTGATTTGATTTGGATACGATTTATTTGTTTGCAACCCTGCCCGCAGTGCAGTCACCCCTACTCACAGGACTTGCCATAATATATGATGCGAATATATCGCGGAGGTCACATAAAGTGAGGTTGTCATGTAGATGTAGAAAGATGGATGACGAGCTAAGACTACAGTTGAGGACGGGAGCATAAGGTCTCCTTTCTCACGTGATGTTACATATAATGCCAGTCTTAAGCACCAGGCCCAAGACTGGTTCTTCACGTATCAATATACTATAGGAACTGCAGAGACTAACTCGGGAATGTGACTTAGTATCGCCTCTGTTCATGACCTTGTGGGCAAAATCGAGAAAGGACCTAGCGAGGGACTGATGCGAATAGAGTCAAGCTCGAGTTCTGACCCTAGGGACGCCCCATCAGGGATCCAAACAGTCCAGAGCTGCAAAAGGCATTAGATTATTTCTCGGTATTATTATGGGTACAAACATCAAGTTGCTTGAAATCGTATCTAAGAGCTGCGAGTTACGTGATGGAATTGATAAAGAATTCTATGCGTTGCAGGAGTTGCAGAGAATACTTGCTGTCTTTAGGAAGCTTTCCCTAGTCCGCCAGGAGGGCATATTATGCTAAAAGATTCCGCTACCTTTAATAGAGACCAAGGCAGGGCAATACATGCTGATCATTATAGGAGGGTTAAGTTTAATAGTGACTTAGATACGGGTTATAAAGGTATTAGTAGCACCCTAAAAGAGATGATCGGGGAGGTATGTGGGATAATAGGCAAGAGGAACTCAGTTTGGAGGGACCGTCTCTCACAACTAAAATCAGCATTTCAATAGAGTCTCCCGCTCTAAGAAAGCCATGGTTCAGCCTAGGATCAGGGCTCCTAATAGTGCAGACCATTTACACTATTAGTGCAGACTACAATCCAAGATCAATAATCAATCCACGACGGGCGTTCGTGGATTGACGACTAGGATGATGCGCCCCTTGAAACGAGCCTTGTTGATCCGGATCGCACCAGTGAATTGATCAGAAATATCCAAAACAAAGTGGTTGGCACAGCAACAATCATGGGTACCCTGGTTTTGTAACACCATGCCAACAACCTAGCGTACTTAGCGTCCACACCGGGCGTCCGTATTCCCTGCCCTGATCTGCAGTCTGCACTAATAGTCTAAATGGTCTGCACTATTAGGAGCCCTGCCTAGGATAATCGCAGGATTGAAGTTGTTCATGAGGCTGTCATTCCGGGCCGCCTCAAAGACGTAATACGACCGGCCTTCCTTCCTGATGACTGCGGCCAACTCCAGCAAGGCACGAGGGAAATCAAAACGACACTCCCTCTCTGGATTGGCAACGTTGGCCGCCTCAATATCTGCAGCAGCGCCTTCCATATCCATCGCCAGATCGCCGGTTCTCTTCCTCACACGCAAGCAGTACGTGGTATTGCACTTGTGGCGCTGGCAACGGTTGACGATCTGTGAGAGCCGCAGGAATGTCATTTCTATGCTCAGGGGATCCACGCTCAGGGGATTACCCTCACCCTGAGGCATAGTCCTACTCGGCTCCGGGTTAATGGCAGTGACGTGGAATCCCCATGTACGCGCAAATACATCACGAGCCGCTTCGTCCTCCATGTCGGCCCGGGGGGAATTATCCATCCAGTACAGGCCGTGGTTGTGTGGGCTACCACGGCCTTGCCATTCGTACCGATCCCAGTAATCTGTGATGTTGAACTTCTTACTTAGAACGATGTCCCGAAAGAGGGTGTATCGGCGATAGAAGTGGAAAGCAGCAATGTGAGGGTTCTGCCGCAATAGGTGGCGCGACAGAGCCATCCTCTCCGGCTCGGTCGCGGCTAACCAGTCTTCATATTGAGGCATGTGCTGGTAGAGACTCCGCCAGTGTAAATCTGCCGGGCTAAACGTGATGAATGCTCCGGGACAGTCAAGGTTATAGCCATATGCCTCAAGTTCCTGCCTCTTTTTGTTCCAGAAGGGACGCGTGCCGCGAATGGACACCGCATGTCTTGTGATCGAGTTGATCAACGTCTGCGCCTCGGGGTCCTCGCTCTGTTCGAGCGCTTGAATAAGCTGCTCTCGTGTGAGTGGTTCATGCATGCCATCATGTTGCTTCACGAAGAATTTGGACCTTGCGCGTGCCTGTGACCGCATCAGGGTGTTGAAGGCGACGAAGCGGAAGGTGGGGTGGCGTGCAAAACGCCCGTCATGCCAGCGCATCGCGTGCTCGATGTAATCCTTGTAATCAATGGAGCGTAACCGAGGTTCAACAAAGTCCGCTCTACCGTCTGGAAAGAGGCAGGGAAAGGCTAAGGAGAGCAGGGCGTGCGACCGGTTGAACTCATTGATCGGCGTATGGCGTATGCTCGGGAGTTCCAGCTCGTGTTGCACTTGAGTCTGGGATCTTAGAGGAAGCCCGGGCCATCTTCCGGTCCGTCGGCGAGAATGATCCGGAGGGCATCGAGCTCCGTATCTTTGGCCAAAAGATCTGGGACTGCAACCTCGTCATCTAGGTCTGGTTCTGCCTCCTGATCATCCTCGGGTCCAACGTCTGTGGCCTCCACCTGACTTCGAGGGATGGCATCCAGAACATTGCCGTCCTGAGGCAATTGACTCAGCCGCTCTTCGTCGATGACGATGCATCGATAGCCAGGATGATGGCGCCGGAGGTAGTTAAGCCATATGGCAACCGGCTGGCGGCGCACACGGAACTGGCGGGTAAACTGTCGGCTAAGCATTGCGTGGGACGACGTATTCGCAGGACGGAGTAGCACAGTGTTCAACTCCTGGGGCAAAATCGGGAGCTGGTGGTACACCAAACCAACCTCACGGAGAAAGTGAACTACGTGCCCCCGATACTTGTACTGCTGCCCTCGCACAAGCATAATGTTCACGTGGACGTGAACACGTGCAATCAAAGACTCTTCGACAGGCGTAAGCTGGGGCAATCGGGCCGGCACGGGGCCAAAGTCGAGCTGATTGTCCGCAGAGAAGAAATACGGCTCGTCGGGGTGGCGTTGCTCATCCTTTCGATAGCAACGCACACAAATTCCATCAGAATCGATCTTCATCTGGAACCAAGACTCTTGGCATCGACTGCAAATTTGCATTTGGTCATTGTCCAGCTGTGTCCAGAACTCGCGGAGGATTGCCTTATCGCGGTCGGCCAAGGCGCAAGCGTCGAGGTCCCCATTCCACACCGGATCTTGTGCGTGGAATACCGCCGATTGTTCAGGTGAAATCATCACTGGGCTCCGATACCGCCGCGGCGGCCTCGATGGTTGGACTTGCGTCTGGGATTTTCTCGGCCGCCCTCCTGTACCAGGGGCAGGGCCACGACGACCACGACGACCATGAGATGGCTGTGCGGAAGGCTGCCTCGAGCGACGGGGAAGAAGGCTTTTATCCACTGAATCATCCTCGTTCTCGTCTTCGTCCCCTGGTTCGACATCGCACTCTACCCCTAATTGCTCGAGATACCTCCGTGGCCGAGCAGGCGAGAGAAGCAAATTGAAGTAGTCTTCGGCGTCAATATCGGATTCAGAGAATTCTCCCTTGTCACCCATATTTATCCCGTCCTGTTCTGGATATGCGCCACGACCGTCGGCTAATCTAGTGGTTAGCCTGCACAACGACGACGATCACATCTAGGGATACCTTCTCCAAGCTCATCAGGAACTGCAAAGACGCCGAGTTGAGATATTGAGGGAGTCAGGGAGACAGTCTCCCCCGCACGGCGCCGTGAACGATGGTCGCGCTGTATAGCCACCTGCCTTGCCTTCGCCTCAGCCTTGGAGGCATCATCTTGTGAGTCTTTCCCGCCCTTATGGAACCTAGAAGCCAAGTAAGAGTACTCAGCATCGGTTGTGCTGCTTGGGACAGTAGATGGATCAGAATGTGACGCGATTTGATCGGTCGTTGGCTGTATGGGCGGTGAGGGAGCAAGAGTCCGGAAGTGGCGCAAGCTTTGTTGGGTTGGTGGGATTGGCGTCCCCAGCACCACCTGCGGCTGGCTAATTGGCTCTTCAAATAACCTCCTTGCCTGGATGAACGCCAAGGCTCCTCAATACCATGATCGCGCCCCTAGATCTGGAATGCTTCGTTAGGTTACTACTTGACGTCTTACTGAATGGGGAGACCGAGCTGACATGAGAATTGAGCTGATTGCGACAGTCCAGGCAGTTCTTCGTGTTCCCCGCTGATCTCCTTTGGCTGACGAAGTCACCCGCCGGTTTCTCCTCGCCACAGCGGGCGCAGACGATGGAAATTATGTCATCTCGAGGCCCTTGAAGAGTAGACTTAGGAGTCATTACTTAATGTTGCAAGATATCAACGCGCGCTGCGTGGACGAAATCAATATCTGAGTCCATGTCAAGCGAAATTTCAAGTAAATAAACAAATCCAGGTTGTCGCAAGCTGTTACGGCCCATGTCATGACCAGGCGGTCAAGATTGGCAGGAACTCACGTGACACAAGATAGACCCCAGTACGGAATAACATGAGTCAGCAAAGATCAACGAATTAGAAGAGGAGCGACGGGAACTGGACGGAACGATGGAACGGAAGGCAGCGCTCCCAACGCTCCCTCGCGCTCCCAGCGTTCCCTTCAGGATACCAAGTATATAGTCATCTGAGAAGTGCACATCTAGTGTGGGCAGCTACTCAGCTATCAACAACACTTGATTACATTGAGTACCTTCGACTCTACCATTATCAGACGTGACAAGCTTGTTCAAGTTTAACGTGCCTGATTCTTTGCCAACATAAACCAATCAGGACCCCCCTACCCTAGACTCACGAGCCTAGTGTAAGCCCGATCGTCACACAAGCTTGCCACGCTATGTTCCACTTTTTACAGGGCCGTCATCCAATTGTGCCACGTTTTGCGGCCGTCAACACAAAATTTTGGACCAATCAGAAACTTTTGCCAATCTTGCACCAAACCCTCATTATTGGGAAACTTAAGAACTGATGTAGAGTCAGCCTTCGGCTGAATAATGGTGGCGCTAGTACCTCCTAACTTCACGAGTCGCATTTACAGCCAAGATGCGTCGTTCTTCAACCTCTCCCACGCACCACGTAATTCCTCGTGGAAATTGGTTAAATCGGTTAAATGCTGTTGCGAGGTCACGTTGCTAGCATGTCACTGTCGGGGACAAGGGCAGGGTTAGGGAAATCTCTGCCCTTAAATACAGTGCGTACGTTCCCAACGTTCCTCCGGGCAACCTCATTCCTTTCGTCAGTCGGTTGCTAGGGCCAGCTTGTTACGAATGCGATGTCTTGCATCGTGACACCCGTCACGTGACGTTGTGACTTGCTCGCAGCAACAAATGCCTCATTCAATAGATCGCCGTTGAACTTTTATAAAACAGGCAATTTTGGGTTGTTGTATAGGACGATGGCTGCAGTTGCAGGATACCAGTTCTGCTATGGAAATCTCGGGGAGTGGGGATGTACTCGCTAACGCATCTTAGCACCGACACAGCACTGTGCCCAAGGAGGGCAAATCATGCTCAGTCGCGTAAGATCGCGCCAGGGGCCTCTCAACGCGTCAACGAAATCACGCTAAAACAAGCCCCCGGCTTGTTTCAGCAAACCGAATGTGACGGTGGTAGAATCGATGCGAATCGAACGGGTTGGTTGTAGATTCGATGGGAATCGAATGGGCCTGTGGTAGATTCGATATCGAATCGAACGCCAAGAAATTCGATTCGACTCCCATTCGATAGATGTCCAACTCTGGTTGGCTGAAGAAACGAAAGTGACTGATGACACCACGCCGAGAATTATTATTATTTTTTCGCCTTTGTTCCTAGAGGCAACTCTCAACCTGCCATCTTCTGTCCATCAACAACATTTCAGCAAGCCTTTCTGTCAACTAATCGACCACAACTATGGATTCCGACGACACAGCGAATGACTCGTTCCGTCAGCAACGCAACCGGACATGGGTCGGCAAGTCGAACAACGACATGCCTCATGCGCCGCTGTTGGCTCTGCGAACAACGCCGCCTATGCGAACGAGACTTTCCAGACGTCGTCGACACGCTGAACAGTCCCTTGAGATACACCGACTTGGCCAGTTCGGTGCTGTCCAGCCGGTCCGTCTCCTCCGGCACGTTGGCTTCCTAGGCCGCTTCTCTCCTCATGCGACGCTGTTGGATGCTCTCTCGCCGGGCATGGCCGATCGACGTCGCCCTCATGCTGGCCGAGCGAGAATGCCCGTGGGTCCGGTGTCCGCGCAGGGAATCTTCGTGCAGGACAGACTGGTCGGAGCCGCTGGTCGGCGGAGGATCCTTGCCAAATCTGGCGTCGCGTCGCGTCATCTCTGCCGAATTGACGCTCGTCGACCGCCCCAGACCCGTCCGCCGGGAATCCCTGCTCCCGCCGGCAGACAAGGGCGGGCTAAGGAGTTCGCTGTGCTGTGGCTGGCTGGTGCCCGAGCGGAACCGCGGTTCGTCTCGCTCACGCCGCCACGGCGGATGCTGAAGGTCTTTCGAGGCGCCAGCGGCGATGGCTCGGCCGGCGAATGGACCTGTACCACAGAGGGGTGAGACCGGTCCTTATCCAGCCGCGCGGGTTCCTGCGCTTGCGGGTGCTGAAGCGACGCAGGAGACCAGCAGCAGTGCCTTCCTTCTTCTGAAGTTGCTCGACCTTGGTCTCTGGAGGAGGCAGGGGAGTCTGCTTGGGAGGTTCGGGGATATCGTCCTCTCCATGGGTGCGGGCGCGCGGCCTCGTTCGCCCACCCGTCGGGTTCTCACCGGGCATCTCATAGGCCGCGGAGTTCGTATGGGCCTCCTGGGGGGGAGCGATCTCGAGCAAGACTTCCGGCTCCCTGGCCTTTTCCCGATCACGCACGTCACGCTGATCACGTTCCCTCTCTCTTTCTCTCTCCCTCTCCCTCTCCTTTTCCTTCTCACGGGCCCCGGCGGGAGGCTGCGGGAACATTTCAGCGTGGTCTCGATCCTGCTTCTCCTTCACCAGGTAATAGATAGATACGAGGGGGCTGAAGGCATTCATCGGGTCGTTGCCCAACTGTAGGGCCTCAGAGCTAGGACCGGTCAGGGTGTCGCGGCTGTTGCCTGAGCTCCTCCGCTTGTAGAAGTCGAAGCCAAACGGTCTCCTCTTCTCGGCGTCCTTGGCCGGCGGGGGGAGCTCCTTCTCCAGCTGGAACAGCTTCACAGCACGATGATACTCTTCAGACTCGATGAGCCTGGTGAGTTCTGCGTTGATGCTTTCCGGGGAGCCAAAGTTGAACCCTTGCATGGCGTGGATAACCTCTGGGTCCAACGGGGTGGTCAATGGCTTGCGCACGGGGAGATAGTTTTCGGGGGGATCATTGAAGCCCTTAATCATCCAAGGGTGGTTCAAGACCTCCCGCATGGTCGCCCGCTGGTTCGGGTCGGTGACGAACATGCGGGATAGGAGATGCTTGCACTCTGTCGCTGGGTCAGCGCTGACTGCTGGACGAGACGCGGAGAGAAGAGGTCGCCGTCTTACCGCTCGAGAGCCATCCGGGATAATCCACGAGACCCTTCTTGACCTTGGCGTGGAGCGCAGGCATACTCTGGTCGTCGAATGGGATCTTGCCGCAGACGAGGACATAGAGGACGATGCCGAAGCTCCAGACGTCCACCTCGGGGCCCGTGTATGCTCTCGCCTGCAAGATCTCGGGGGCAGCAAAGTAGAGGCTGCCGCAGAAGGTCCTGAGGTGGCCGCGGGGTGCAAACAGGTTGCTCAGGCCAAAGTCGATGATCTTGATGTCGCCCGTCTTGCTGATGAGGATGTTTTCAATCTTGAGGTCCCGGTGGACGATGCTATTCCTGTGGCAATAATCGAGGGCGCTCGCGATCTGGCGGCTGAACTTGCGGGCCTGCTTCTCCTTGAGCTTGCCACGGGAGATGATGTAGTCGAGCATCTGAGCGCCGTTGACGTATTCGAAGAGCATGTACCAATGGTGGTTGGTGCGGACGACGTCGCGGAGGCCGCAGATGTGGGGGTGGTTTAGGAGGGAGACGATGGCGGCCTCACGAGCGGTGCGAATCTCCTTGGACTGGTCGGCGCGCTCCTTGTCGGCGCGGGACTGGTGGCCATCGTCGGTCGAGCCACGGGGGATGATTTTGCAGGCGACCTGGGAAGAGGGGACGGTTAGCTTTGTGCGCAGGGGGAGGCCGACAAAGAAGTGTGGAGAGAAGCGAGATGGGAGATGGGAGGCGGAAGGTGAACGATGACAACGAAGCGAAGACGAACCTGTTCGCTGCCATCCTCCTTGCAGGCGAGCTTGACCTTGCCCATGCTGCCGGCGCCAATGGTCTTGCCGAGGATCCACTTGCCAGACTGCGTCGGGATGATGGTGCGCGACCTCGCGTGCTTGGAGACAGATGCCCGGGGCGGCGCATCGGCGTGGCCATGCTGCTGCTGCTGGGGGGCGGCCGGGCTGCCAGTGCCATTGCCGGCGGCGGCGGTGGCAGAGGGAGCCATGTCGGGATGGGGATTGTGGCGGTGGTTGGATCGAGTGCTGCTGCGTCGATGGGGCCGCGAGGGATCGGGCCCCTTGCCGGGGGCGCTGGAGGGTCTCTGCTGGAGCTTCGCTTGCAGGAGTGGGCGAGGGCGGCGGCTACGTGCGAGGTGTCGTAGTCATTTTGGGGGATGGTCTGCTGCGGCTGGATGGGACGGGCGGAGGACGAGGGCGCGGCGGTGGTGATGGGGGAGGCGATGGGAGTGAGACGAGTAGGTGGGCGTAAAATATACTGTACGTCATGAATCGAATCCATGGCGATGCAACCAACAGAGACGCAATGATGCCGATGGTGAACATAATTTTAGGGAGTGTGTATTTGACACACTGTTTGGGGTATTTGACACACACAAAGTGGAGCTTTTAGCCACAATCTGTGGCGTAAGACCGACATCGCCAGAGGAGAGATCTGCCCTGCCTTCGCAATATTGGTGACAACGCGGAAGCTGGCTGCTTTGCGCCTCCTACAAAGACAACACACCAGCACAATTAAGCTGCCCGTACTAGCAGCCCAGCAGCCCAGCAGCCCAGTAGCTTACCAGCCTTGCTGAGCCTTGCTGGCGCAGCTATTGTAGGCGTTGTGCAGGCAGCAGCTTTGCGTGGCAGCAGGCCCTGCAAGGCGTGTTGTGTATGCTTTGTTGATGATTCTTTCTGCAGGACGCGCTACAAGATTTGCTTAGATAATAGTGTAGAGCTGCGGTACCGGCGTCTCAGCCACATTGTGTGTCAAATACCTGAAATGGTGTGTCAAATACACACTCCCTAATTTTAGCTGTCCCGGGCCTTTGGCCCCAGCAAGCAAGCGCCAGGGACGCGCCCCTCTTCACTCCAGCGCACTCCAGCGCCTCCGCGCACTGAAGCGTGGGCGGCAAAGGTCCCCTGTAGCGGGCCCTTCCATTGGCTGTTTCCGGGGGCCACGGGGAGGTTCCATGCGCCCAGGCTCGCTTGGAGCCTTCTCCGCTCAGGCTCAGGCTCAGGGGAGCAGCCGCCGAATGAGGATGTTCCTCATTGCTCAACCATCCATACCCACTAGGAACCGTAACTCTCCCACACATTCGATACATGTAGTACCCGGGTATCATGGCCTTCGACTGCGAGAGGTTGCTCTGCGACGATCCAATCTCCCTCCATCGCCTCCTCAGATGATCCAACTCGGCCTCTGAGTTTCTGCTCCTCCCCCTCGACCCAGCCAACCAAACCAGTGAAGCTCCTCCTCCGCCGCCTCCTTCTCCGGCACACCATCCATCCATCCGTCGTCTCCCAGCAGTCAACACCGCACGCCAACACGCGATAGCAAATCCACCACACTGTCTGGGTCGTAGGAAGCTGGCATCGGACCGTCCGAGTCCTTGGAGTTTGAGAAGACTCCCTCGACGACATCCTCGACGGCATCGAGCATGCGGACCTCGTCGATCCATCACCTCGAGACGACCGACAGCAACGCCGACGCCCACGTCCTCCTGAGCCGCGAGCAGTCGCCGCCGCCGCAGTATCCCGCCTCCGAGGCGTCCTCGCCGCGGCCCCCGCCCTTCTCGTCGCTCTTTTCCCCGCCGCACGACGCCCACGAGCGCCCCGCGCAGCCCTTGCTCTCGCTGCCGAGGGAGAGGCATCGGGCTCCGCAGCCGTTGCAGCGCCGGCATACGAATCCTCGACACCGCTCGAGGCGCAGCCCTTCGACCCGGACCAGACCGCCAGGGCTTTCCGCGATCCCGTCGCCGAGACCAAGCGCGCGCTCCCCAGGGACACCAAGGGGGACTCGAGTCGCAAGGACGACGCCCAGTCCCCTCGTCTCCTTCTCTTACCTGATGGCTGCCGCCGGAGGAGCCTCGAGTATCATTACTCAAGTGCAACAGGGCGGGCCGCCTGTCAATGCCAGAATCCCAGTACTTTCCAAGAAAGTCAACAATTCTGTCCCGATAAAGATCCTCGGGATTTCTCTTCCGTCTCTGACCGCTTTGGCGCTGGTGAGAGCGGGATGTCGGCGGTGCGCTCTCAACGCCGATGGAGGACCCGTCTTGACGCGAGGTTAGAGAATCAGTGGATCTGACCGTGTTATCACCTCTCTGGTTCTGGGTCTTGAAGGCAGACGGTAGTGGGGTTGTATCGCCTTCTTCACGAGCTTTGGGTACTATGGGTGAGTCCAAGACGCTCTCCAGCAGCTCACAGGCACTGCTTGCCGGGACCGCCTCTCCCCAAGACTGATAGTCACCACTAATACTCGAGTTCCGCGGCGAACATGGGTTGGTAGAAATCTGCGACTGATCAGGGATACGCTGAGGTTGATCCAGCCAGCTTATGGCGTCGGAGTCAATCTCTAAAGCGAGAGCTGCTTGAGAATCGGGCTGCATGTCAATGCAATCGCTGCCGTCATTACGTTCTTGGCGACAATAACAGAGCATGTCAGAATCCAGTGGCGTCGTGTGACCTCCACCGATCCCCCAGCAATCGGCTAGAACAGCTTGTTCTGCAGAGACAGAAGGCGGGCGAGAGGTGGATGACTCGTCGACCCCGTAATGCCTTTGGCAAAGTGATTTGACCAGAGTCCTTGCGGCCTCTCTCCCGACCGTAGTCAGGAGCTCTTGGAAAACATCAAGTTTTGCTTCCAACCCCTGCAAAACCATCTCGAAATGGATGTAAGGAGGAAGTCAAACCTCAAAAACTTCATGGGCGGTCGGGTTTTGTGCAAACTTTGCGAACTTGTTGAGTTCGCATTTACCTTTTGAGACGAACCAAGATCCAAAACTGTCCACTCAGTTTCTAGAAACTTCGGTGCCCCGCCGAGCACCTGGTCTAGGTGCAACAAACGGTCCATGGCCTATGTCTTCCAAATCTCCTTGATCCCGAATTGACTGCACCGTCGCTGGTTAATTGTTTATCATCGCCCGGGTGCGGTCGTTCGGTGGCCATCGTAGAGAAGCACCAAAAATAAATTGTCTTCGGGCACATCTTTCTCTTAAGGGCAAGTTAGGGGCGGGGGAGTCGTTTTGACGAACGAACAGGTGTGGGACCGCCCCAAAAAGTAAGTTAGTCAATCTGTTGCAATAAAGTCATAACTAGCTATTAAATAAATAATACTAAAGGCCTTAAGCTAGTCTTGCTGAGATTGATATATGGTAATAATTAACGTGAAGAGCTATTTAAATAAGCTTATTTGACCTCTCGAGTCTCGAGGAACTGTGCGGTCAGCTGAATAGATGTCACCTGACTCGGAGAATGAATTTATTTCTCGGATAGCATACTCCGTCAGAATTAGACTCCTGAACGAAGGCATAACCTTGAGTGGATGGAAGTATCATTTGGGAATGCGACCCAACATGAAGGTATTTGATTGCCGGGGTTCCGGCCCCCCGTTGTGACGCAGCCTGGGACGTAACTATTGAGTGGACCACAATGATGGGGATCAAGGTCAGTTGATTGGGTTTCGGCAACAAAAACTCCATCCTATGCGACAATCAATTCTCATGTTCGGGCCAACCATCGAGTAAACCAATCAATAGCCTGCACCTCTGCCTTTTCTGCACACTCCATCTCATGCTCATTATCTGGGCGTGCCCGAACAGCAAACCCGTGCCTTGCGCCTGGTAGAATGGTAACTTCATGGCTGCCTTTGTTTTCGACCTCAAGCACGTGCTTCATTTGCTTGACCAGTGATACCTTCATGAACGTATCCTCATCGCCAATAGCCACATTTGTCGGAATGGCTATGTCTTCAATGTCACGAGGGACCTCGATTAATGCAGGGTGGGCGGTAAAGGCACAGTCTATCAACGGCTCGGGGTTTGCAGAATTAATCTGTGAATTATGTCGGCGTACTCGAGAGGACGGCTCGTCTTGAGCAAGAAGTAGAGTGTGTTTGCCGCCCCAACAGAAGCCTGCAACACCGATCTTGAGATTATTGGTTGGGAATGGAGGTGAAGATGTTCTCAGGGCTTGAATGAAGGAGAAGACTCGGGCTCTCGTGACCGGGAGACGAGTCTTAAGAATCCAGGGAAGGGCTATAGTCATCCATTGGATGGCGGTTATAGGCTTGTAGAAAATAGTGTCAAACCACGGGGCTGGTTCCATGATGTTGTCCAGGAGAGCAATAGCCCGGGGGTCCATGGAACTGCCTGTCAAGATATTAGGACAGTGTGTGAAGGTTATGAATCAGGAGTTGGACGATATACCACTCATGAAGTCCGGACAATAAACTAGAAATCCACCCCTTTTCGCGTAACGATCGCATAGAACTCTGTTGTTCGAAAATTTCCATCCAAAGGCATCAGTGATAATGACGATGATACCCTTCGTTGTAGCTCCATTTTCAGGTTGCGCAACATAAGTAGGGAAGCCGTGGATAGTAGTTTCTGTGCCGGTCGTCTGCGTTGTGGAGACAGCCCCTCGAAAACAGTCTGGACAAGACATCGGGAGAAATGATAACCCAGTCAATTAGACTCTGGTCAGGAGCCAAGTTGTTTTAATTGGTGCTGGTGGTTCAAGGTACGAATATATGCGCGGACCTACGATACCCCAAACGGCTCAAATATTGCGCCGTATGACGCATTCAATATCGCAGGGTGTTGCAAGGTAGCTAGATATGATTGGTTAAGGACCAACGGGAGCAGACCCACAATAGGGGCTCCGCTCCCACGTATTAAACGGCGCTGTATGCGCGATTCCCTATGTAGAAAACAAGGCTCATTCATTATCTCTATTATATGCGCTTATTGGGCCTCCATCGCTGTCTACGACACAGGGCCAGGGTGTAATATGCAACCGATTAAACGGTATGATTGGCTAAGTGGATTTATCCCACCTCTCGTTAGATTGACTCCTGCATGCAGGAAAAGAGGTGCTAAGATTAAGAAGCCCCGGATATAAGGATTTATGAAATTGTAATAATGTGTTGGATGATGACCCTGTATGACGAAACCTCGGATAGATTGATATCCTGACCTTAGTCAGAAGGGGGGTATGAAAACCCCTCTTCCGGCCGATCCGGATGACCGGCACAAGTAATCATAAACATCATCATCACTGTATTGATCCCTATCTATTTGATCGAATTGACCGTAACGGATCCATCATAATGCATAGTCTGGCGGTCAAGTTATTGTCAGATAAGGCTCGGATAAAGGAGTTATTTGCTTGATATAATGATATTACTGTTGGAGGATTGCATATAAATTTGTACTGAGACAAGAAGCGGGGAATGAGGGCACCAATCAATAATCACCTCAATGAAGGGCTTCCTGACAGTTATACCCCTCTCGGGGATTATCCCTGGCATCAACCTCGCCTTGATATAGTAGAGCCGGAACAATCGCCTACTCGCTGGAGTCTCTGGGGTTATATTACTTGCTCTGATGGTCATTGTCACGAAGAGGGAGGGTAAATGCAAGGCCGAGCGACAGCCCATTTGGTAAATGTTGGGATGTCCTGGTGGCACAACCATCCATTGTGCAAGAGCACCCGAGTGCTGTTCGCTTCCTGGTCTGCGGCTACAGCTAGCAAATGTGATGGAAGAGGTGCGCGATCCGATGATGGTGTGGCTCGAGTAGAAGATGAGTCCGAGGATTGGTTACTGTATTCATGATTCTTCTCGTATCTCTGCGGCGTGGTCTCTTATCCTGGGCGGTCTTCTTCCGACTTTGGTAGATGGCGTATCCTCGCCCGACTGGGCTGGGCCGGGCGTGATGTTGATAAAGTCGGCAAAGTCGAAGCCCTGGCTGGGAGTGGTAGGGAACGGGTTGCCTTCGCCAGGGGTTATAATCATCGAGGACGGCAAGTCCAGCTTACTACTCCTCTGAGGCGGCGTCGAGGGAGGTTCCATGCGTATGAGGGTCGTGGTGCGCATGGTCGAGGACGGCGACGCGGTTGGGTAGAGCAGGAGATCTGCACCTTCCTCGTCTGATCTGCCACTGTTGGGCTCTGGTGCCATGTTGTCCTTGTTCTGCTTGATGCTGAGGGTCCAGGATCGAATGGGCGGTGTGCGAGGGGGGACAGCCGTATGTTGGCGGCGCTAAAGGAGTGCTGGGCAGGAGATCGTCATCATCTCGCGCTAACAGCCGCTGCCAAGAAAGAATTTTTACAGGAGAGAGTTGTGTATACGACCCCTTATCGCAGTATAGACAAGTACAGGGTAAGCTCAACGAAGCCAGGTAGGTCTATAGAAGTATGTAAAGCTATGGTATCAAGTCCCTGGGGCAATGAACGCCAACCCTCCCGTGTCAAGATTATGTATTATGTATTGTCATCACATCGTACCATAGTTATAATGGCCCCAAGAGCAGCACTAGCTCAGCGTCAAGGATTCTGGCCGAACCAAGTGCGTGGAATCGCTGTCCTTCTTTCGGCCATCCCCTTCTATGAGTGGCACTTTATCAGCTGTCTCCACGTTGCCTCTGTCCTCGTGAGCCTCCAGGGAGGAGTGGGAGCCCAAGGACGTAGTCAGAGATGGCGTCGAGGGTTGAGCACTTGTCGTCCGTCTCCTCTTGGCCTTTCTCCTTATATCCTCCTCGTCGCTAAAATGGGAAGAAGCTCCCGTCCCTGCGGAATGGAGAACCCAGTCACGGAGCCGTTTCCGGCCCCGTTCTTCCTCGTCCTCACTCGGGGACTGATACCCTAGCGCACCAGAAGCAGCGCCTTCGTCCACCGTATTCGGGAAAGCTGCTCCGTCGAAGTCGTCATTGTTCTGAGACGTTGATCCTCTCGTCCTCTTTCGGGGGCTGGAGCTTCTAGACCCTCCGCCGCCGAAGAAGTTGTTCCTTTGGTCCCGGCTCATATCGAGCACCTCAGTCATCCAGGTCGAAGCACCGAGCTCGTCCTCACCCAGTGTCTTTACCTCGAGCCATCGCTTCTCACCTTGTAGGACAAATATTTTAACTAACGAGAAAACAGCATATGCGAATCGGGAGAAGAGGTACTGAGGAGCTACTGAGTCGAGCTTCTGGACCAACTGATTGTGGAATTCGCTCGCCTGGCTCGCAACATCGTCCACAGTCAAGAAGTGCACGGCCAAGGCATGGCTCCCGCCTGCCACGGGCTTGGGCACAATGGCAAAGGCACGTCGGTCAAAGTCCTTGTGCAGGTCGCATCGCAAGGGGCAGATATTGCGTGAAGTATCGACGGCAGGCGTGGTGGAATCGCGCGAGTACTCGGCCATGCCATTCTCTTCAAACCACGTCGCCATCGAGCGAGGGATCACATGTGCCGCATCGACGGTCGTGGCAGTGCTGATAACGCAGGAGCGGGCGGTCGCGGCGCTAGGAGACGGGAGGGATGCCCATGGTTGAGGGAGATCACCATGCGGGAATTGCCAGTTCTGGAAGTTTGGCGTGATGGGATATGGTCGCTGGGCTGCATGACGTCTGATATTAGCAGGGAGTCGAGGGATCGCGATCAGAAGTCCTACTTGAGCCGTGCACTTGGAGGTAGTATTGGGGACGCGTGAGTAGACCGTCTGGAGCCAGTGTCACGCGTTCCTGTCCTTTGCGGTCGTAGGTGAGATACGCTCTGTTGAAGGCATTCCCGGCGATAATCTGGCAAGCTACCAAGGCAGTGCCATGGTGTATTCCGTACCGCGGCGGTCTCTCTAGTACGGCAAAATCATCGCCGGCGTGCGTTTCGGTCAGGTCATGATTCGTCGCCAGTCTAGCTGCGTCACTAATGGCGTCTGTCGAATCCTCAGATGTTGCAACGTCAAGCGGCGGCAGCGCGAGGAGCATGCTCACATGGATAGAATATTCGGGATGCCGAAAGATGATGAGGGGCGCAGAACATTGCGGCGATGGCTCTGGTGACACGCGCGGTGGCAGAAGATGCATGGCTCGTTGACCCTGAGGCTGCGACTGGGATCTTCGAGATCGAAGAAACGAGACGCGTTTACCTCAGCAGCGCTCAGGCCATTATGGCCGCCATGCCTGAGGCAGGAAACACGCTATACCTAATCGGTAAGGTCCTCGACCAAATGCGAGGTTACCTCAGCAAGCTCAGGCCATTGACTCAGAGGAGTCTAGCGATATTAGGACTAGCGCCATATGTCACGTTACTTTTACGACTCCTGGAGTAAATAGCCTGAGGATTCTGTCAACCGTGCGCACTGCTCTGCGGTCGTTTTGTATGTGTTTTACGCGATTCTTCAAAATCGCGATTTTTCATATTCGTCGATTGCCACGTCAAAACAAGTTTTATTTGCTCATAACTTCAATCAATTGTGCACCAGGGTATCCTCTATCTGTAAGTCTAAATACTTTTCAATCTCCGCAGATGTATCTTGTGAAAAACGCTAATACATGCTGAGTAGAACCGCAACGGAATCATCATCCAACCACCGTTCTCGCCTTGGAGGCTAAAAGAGCCCAGACAATCACTATCCAAGACCAGTTGAATGTCACCGGATACCGTATAAAGGTTTTCTTGCTCAGGATTTACGCCTATATCGCGTTGCTGTGGTCGTGTCTTGTCCGCGTTACCCATGCGAAGTAGGACGAGCTTTCGAAGAGCGCGACGACAGATCGCAGACGGCATGAAAGATTTCGTTCATGATGCCCACAATACCGAGAGTATGCTGGCTATACAGGATCTGGTAGAGAGGGCCAAACACGAGCCAGAGGAAGTGCAGAATGGTATTATCCGCGCAGGCCTGCAGTGTCATCTGTATCCATTCGAGCCTCGTCAGAAGCAGATAGATGCAATATGGCATTTGGTATTCAAGAAGGACGACCTGCTCCTTACAGCCAAGACATCTTTCGGCAAGAGTGTCATATTCCAGGCAGCCCCGTTGTTTTGTCGCGGCGGCATCGGCCTAATCATCATCCCATTAGATCGAATTGGACAGGAGCAGTGCATCAAGATCCAAAGGCTTCCTGGGGCGAGATCCGTGTTTATCAATGCCAGGACGGACAAGACTGATGCATTGGCCCAAGAGATTGAGACGGGTGTGTATACTCATCTCATCATGGGCCCAGAGATCGCAGCTGGTTGGTTTCGGTCAATAGCAAGCAACCCGTCCTTCAAGAAGCGCGTCTCAGTTGTGGCTGTAGATGAACTCCACTTGGTGGCACTATGGGGAAGTGGTATCCGCCCACAGTATGCACAGCTCTCTCTCCTTCGTCGAAGATTAGGAGCGCGTATCCCTTGGTTTGGCTGTTCTGCCACTTTGGACCAGGGGACATTGGATACTGCGAGGAAAATGACAGGCTTCCAAGCCAGCTGCGAGTTTTTTCGAACTTCAGTCGACAGGCCGGAGATAAAGTTGCTCGTGGAGACTATCGAGCCACGAACGACCAAGCGGTTCACCAGCCTCTTCTTCGTCCTACAAGACGCCATAACGAATGGGTCGCCAACACCAGAGAAAATTCCGAAGACGGTAATTTTCATAGATTCACGACGCGATATCCAAAAATGTGCAGAATGCTTGCGTGATTGGCTGCACAAACTATCGGCCGGGGCTATTAGAGACCGTGACTGCCGACAGATCATCGGAGTCTACCACTCACACACCTCTCTGAATGATAAGAATGCTATATACGACGAGTTCTCTGAGGCAGATTCGAAGATTCGAATTATGGTGGCAACAGAATCATTGGGAACCGGAGTAGATCTCTCGGATGTCATACGAGTTGTCCAATATGGCTTCCCTCTGGAGCGGCTCTTGTGCGTCCTTATCCAACGGTTCGGTCGTGCAGCTAGAATGAGTGGAATCAAGGGAGAGGCTATTTTCCTGGTCGAAAGCTGGGCTGTAGGTGACAGGATTGCATCGACAAGAGCGGTAATGATTCGCAGCAGTCAGACGCCGTCGTCTTCGAGACGGTCTTCCGGCACAACCCGATTAGCTCGGTCATGCTCCGCTGAACTAGGAGTGGAAGGTGACATTCCAGACGATGAATCGGATGTTGCTGTAAATGTCATTGACTATGACGTACCAGAAGAGCAGCCCAGGCGTAAAACAGACAGAGAGCGCCGAACGGAGTTGTACAGTGACAGTCCGGCCCTGTTCAATCTTGTCAATCGATCCACATGCCTACGACGAGTTCTAATGGATTGGCTGCAAGAGAGTTTGTCAGACCCGGCATCCAAGTCACCTGCTCCTGAGCCGGACGAGTGTTGTAATGTTTGCAACCCCACCCTGACGCGAACGATGCCTTTCCCGTGGGATATTGCTCCTAGTCTTAGGAGGCCCCAGGCCGGGACGGCATCAGGTGCATTTTATGACCGCCTGATCCTCTGGGGAGACAACGTTGTCAATTCGGCACATCAGATGGTGAAGCCCGAGCTCTCCGTGCGGCTATTCACGCAGAAGGGCGAGTGGATATCCATGTCGGCAAAGTATGCCTACATCCGCACGGCCGCTGAGTTGGAAGAATTTGCGAAGTCGACTTGGCTGAAAGAGCATTCCGATGAACTCTTTAAAGAGTTCAATGATATCAAATCCTATGTAGTGAGGAACTGGCCCGGAGGTAGCAGGCTAGGAACCGCTGCTGCAGCTCAAGTTCCAATCCATCGGGCGTCGTTGGAAGGACGAGCTCGTCTCGCTCCGGAACGGCAGATGTCTCGCAAGAGAAGAGCGTCTGTCGATGTCGAAGCGGAGACTCAGAAGGCTCTTGATCAGGAACAGAGAGCGTCATTTTTGCGTGGGCGAGAAGAGTACGCTTCCTCACTAGAGCGAATCATTGCCAGAGCCAGAGAGACGCCAGCCTTGTGCTCTCCTAATCCGTCTACCCCACGAATCCCCCCGGTACCAGCCAACTCGCCGTTCACATCTATCGGCGGGTCGATAGCACCGACAAGGGAGGGTTCTTCCTCGGCCATATCTGCTGTTTTCGAGAATGAGGTGCCCAGCGTAGTCGACGGCAATCGGTTGTCGAAACGCCCCGCATCGAGTCGAGGGGAAGGGGGAATGACAAAAAGGGTCGTCCTCGGCGTTCTGGATCCTAATGCAAGGCGAAGCCCTCGCAGTGAGAAAGGGAAGAATAGTCGTTATGACCACGAAGAGTGGATATTATAAATGGGTTATTCAAACTCGATATCCGAGGGTAAACCCCATTCTTGGGATTCATCTCTGTCTTCCAAGGGCTGGTGACGTATGTTAGCCCGAACTTGGAACTCCATGAATAATCGAGTATCAGAGTATGTACATACCAATATCGCCATCGTATCGCTATTAGGATCCAGATCGGCCGTGGCTCTTCTCCTTTCATAGGGCGGTACTATTATTCGATCTTCATCTCTCATAACCTTCGCATTGAACACTTCCAGTTTCTTTGTTGCTACTCTTTCGACCCCGATCGTATGTATGTCTGGCGCGTGGTGTCTTCCCTGCCGGCCGCCGCCATAAAATTTAATCGAGTCGCATGCCAACTCAAATGCCAACGTATGGATATCGTCCACCGGAGAAGGCACGGCGTGTGTGGAGTTGTCCTTCCGGGCAAAGGCATTCTCTATCGCCTTGCGTAGACAAACGGTGTATTCTGCAGTTAACGAGGTAGTCTTGAACAGAGCATCCAATCCGAAAGTCGACGTTCGACGGGCCCAAAGCTCCCTTTTCAGCTCCAGGTTCAGATATTCGAGGCTACGATCGACTTCTTGCCAGGTGTCCCGACGGCCATGCGGATTGACGAGGCTATTCGAGAGGATGGCGCGCCGAAGCTCCTTATCACAAGCTTTGGTGCTCGTGAGCCGCTTCAGATAGAGCATCTCGAATGCGTAGTTTGATTGTCCAGTCCCCTCGAAATAAAAGCAACAGACACCAATGACTCGATCGATGAGTCCTATGTCTCCGTTCTTGATGCCGTACTTCAAGGTCTTGTAGACAATCATCTGCTGAAGATATCGAGCATGGTTCAGGAACTCCTCATCGATCGTGTTGTCGGCGTACTTCTCCTTGGATGGTCGCCAGGCTTGCGGCTCAAACGCGGATTTGCGAACATCTTCCACTAGCTCCATGAAACCTCTGGTACTCATCTTCTGAATTGCCCCGTCAACCTCGCCTTGTTCTGACGTATCGATGCTGCGCTGCTCGAGGCGGGTATAGAGTAGTCCGACAACCCGAGCGTCGAAACTATGAAGTACCAGCTCTTCCAGAACCTGAAAAGCCGCACGGTCCGCTGGAATATTCTTTCGTCCCCAGAAGTTGATGTTGTGATAGAGGGTTGAAGCGTCTTGCTGTTCCATATTGCCATAATGTGTCTTTTGCATGAGCCACAGGAAATTCATGCGCAGGTGAAACAGCGCAGCGACTCCTATCAGCCAGTCTTTTCTGTCGTATGCTGCAGATGCGTCGACTTGTTCAGCTTGCATAGATCGGATGAGTGACGAAGTTTTCTGATCGCCAAACGCCAAGAACAGACGGTTGTCGAATTCTGTGTCCTCCAGCTGGAACTGGTGCTTGTAAATACTCTCTACAACCTCGTAGGAGCCATCCAGAGTACCTTCGTTAAAGAGAATCGGACCGAGCGTCTTGCTGTCTGTCTTTCGAGGCTCGAGCAACTCGACGGTTGGCATAGCGGGGAAAGGGACGCCCGACTTGGCGAAGATAGATTTGACCGATTTTGGATATGCCGCTCGAATTGCCTCCGCTATGAAGTAGGTGTCGATCTCGGCGGCAGCCTCGTCGTATATAGCAGCACCAGGAGAGTATAGAAGGTCCTCTATTGTAAGTGGAACCTCGCGATGCAGCATTGACTTCCTCAATCCACCCGGGGGAATATCGGCGCCTCTGAAAACCTTCCCCGTTGTCACAGAGCGCATCTCTGCATGGTTTGAAATGAGCTGGTGCTTGATGCCTTCTTGATAGTCGAAGTTGTCATACACAACGCAGGCATCCATCTGTTGGCCATATCGATGGACCGTCCCCTACTTACGATCAGTCGACGTCCATTCTGAGGGACTGTGAGGATGCCTTTGCTTGTTCTGCCACGGTTTCAAGATGCTTGTGGACCCCCTTGTATCCTTCACAAAGCCCGAATTGGTGAAGCAGATCCAGGATACGCCGTTTGACGCCATTAGAGTAAAGAAAGGCACCGAATACGCGGGGAAACTTGTTGCTTCCTTCCGAGGCTCGAGAATAGCAGAGAATCGACGTGATTAACGCAGTCCTGTGGTTGAATTTTGAAGGATCTCGTGGTGGTCGATCTTTCCTCTCCATCTTGGGGGCCATGAGACCCTTGAGCAGTCCACATAGAAGAGGAGCACGAGTTTGGACTTGCTCATACATCTGCCCGAACTGCATGTCGCTAAGTATACGCTCGTAGTCCTCCGGTTTCCGGCCACCTTCTGACTGTTCCTCCCTCCCAATACCAGCTTCTGAAGACTTCTCTGGTTGATGGTCGACCTGGTAGGCACTAAACATACCTCCGGTCTCCTCCAGTTCTTTCATTTCCTTCCTAAGAGCCTTGACGGTAACAATTCCGGTCGCACTAGATGTGGGATGCCCTCGCAGCGCGTCTAAGACCTCCGGCTGGCCATATATAGCCTCCGCAAGACGTTTGGCACGCGTCGCAGGGCGCTCCCCATATCCACCAGAACCTTGAGTCGTAGCGTAGACAAGAATAAATTCTCGCAAACTAATGTCATTTTGCCGCATGAATTGACATATCTTGTCTACTCTTCGCGCCTTGCTACGTCTTTGAGGCGCTTTCGTCCCTCGACGACGTGCTTCGGTAACAGGTGGACTTGGCGCGGCTGCAACGGGCGGGTTCAACCGCGCACTCTGACGACGCTGGTTGTGGGCTGACATGATCCAAAATCCAATCAATGGTGGAATAACAGTAGCGGAATCGAATGAGTCTATTCAATCAACTGTGCACCTCGTTGTTGTGGATGAAAATGGTTTTGAATGCCGCCGTCTGCTTCGTACGAAATGTGTCCGCACACGCCCAAATTTCTTGACACGATCCTCAGGCCATTTGGTCGAGGACCGCATGTGACTTACCGATTAGGTATAGTCCGGTCCGCTGCCCCACAAATGGCCTGAGCTTGCTGAGGTAAATGCGAGGAGTCGTCCAAGTAACGTGACCAGTTCCGCTAGTCCTAATATTACCTCAGCAAGCTCAGGCCCGTGCGTCCATGCGCCAAGGCGCGCTAGTCCTAATCGGTAGCACGTACGCAAAGGGCCTGAGCGCAATTTCCAGATTTTGCGTGGCGTTGTCGTTCGTGGCTGTGAAAGTACGCGACACGTTCGTAGGCTTCGTAGCCCTGCAAAATCGGCGTAACTAATTCATTTGCGTGTTGCACCTGGCATACTGCCTTGATTTTCTTGAAACTATGCTCGGAGCTACATATGCATCTTAGCTATCGATAGCAATGCCTCATATCCCATTACGTTGCCCTGATGTCGAGTCTTTGCCCTCCACGTTGGCGAACCTCCTGGGATTGCCTCCCCGCGACGGCCAGACGGAAGCAATACGAAGTCTTACTGTTGATCAGATGGACCTAATCCTGACTGCACCCACCGGGTGGGGTAAGAGTGTCGTATTCCAGGCGATTCCGGCCCTCCGAGGCGGTGTTTGCCTCATGATCATGCCGCTGAATCTGCTCGAAGAGGACCAGGTTAGTCGTGACGACTCACAGAGCATAATAGGGGAAGCAAGGAAGATGTATTAATCGTGGCACAAATTGACAATTGACAGCAAGCGCATCCGAATTTTCTGTTTGAGCAAAAAACGACTTGCGCATGATTACAAAGCCACGAACGACAACGCCACGCAAAATCTGGAAATTGCGCTCAGGCCCTTTGCGTACGTGCTACCGATTAGGTTAGCGCGCCTTGCCGCATGGACGCACGGGCCTGAGCTTGCTGAGGTAAGTCCTAATATTACCTCAGGCACTCAGACCCACTCTAACCGAACAGACGCGCGGATCACGTGGTTCTTACCCCTTTAGGGAAGGCGTCGCGCTGTTAAGCGCGCCCAGTGGGCCTGAGTGCCTGAGGTAAGTCCTAATATCGCTAGACTCCTCTAAGTCAATGGTCTGAGCTTGCTGAGGTAATCAGTAGGCAGGTGTTCGACACGTGACCGGGTCAAATCGGTCTAGCGGCCGGAATTGCTGAGCGTTACGGCACAGGGAAATTGATGATAATAAAGGGGCCAAATAGGCGATTGCAATTGATGATGATTACAACCGTAATAGGGCTGTTATCGTGACTTGTGATCGATGTATCTGCTTGTTGCTTGTCTGAGGGATTCCCCCTCTTTTCAGCTCAATCCAGCCTCCCTTATCCTTAGTCATCCTCGCGGCCGGGTCTCTCATCTGACAGCAGGTTGGGGGCAAAATCGGCGGGGCGGAAGCGGGTCAGGCTGAGGAACAAGAGGGGGCAGCGCCAACGATGGCAGGATCGCTCACCAGAGTCGTCGGCTGTGGAGGGCACGCTGCCAACGGCTGCGTTGGACGAAGGGGAATTGGACATGGTTGTGAGGATGGGTGAACGAGCAACGTCTGGAGGATTTTTGTTTCCCATAGTTCGGATAGAGTGCGATGAAACGGCTGCGCACAGCACTGGTTAGCAACCACTCCGGAGCCTCTGCAGGGGCGGGTTCGGTGCCCGGTCTTTGAGTGTTGAGGGGCGAGCCCACATGCAAAACGGACAAGAGATGCGCTGAATTGAAAGCAAGGTTTTTCTTGAGTTGACTAGTTTACGGGCGTTCACGTACGTACTACCTACTGTGGGTGGCAATAAGTTTGAATCATTATCAGGTACCGCCGTATTGTTTTAGCTTAATTAGGAAGAGTGATGATGCTGCTTTTAAGTTTCAGCTCTTCTTCTTGCAGAGGAGGTTTACTGTCGTTGAGTGGTTCAGAGTGAATTTTAAAGCGGCATGACAACAAAATTAAAAGATACCCATCGGGCATTCAAACTTATTGCCACAGCTTGCGCCCGCTCGCTGGTGCCATGACCCACAGGACTCGGTCAATGAGTTTCGTCACTTCATTCCCCACGAACTCTCGCCGTCTGTCCGCTATCTGCGGCCTGGAATGCTTTACTTCTGCCTTTCGTGGTGGTTTGAGTTTCTCTATGTTTTCCGTTCTTCGTTGTCGTGTCCTCATCCATGCGATATTAATAACTATGCCCAATTCCTCCCACTTTCCGGCTGCCTCCTGGAGCTTCATCGGCCAGTTCCGAGCTTTGAGCTGATCCAATGTCTTCGCCGCTCGGCTTCACTCCATGGAGAAGGAGGGCATTGAGCTCGACCTCGCAGCGCGATCCCCCGCAGCTCCAACCTGCCGATGGCTTCAGCTCCAGCCCCAGCCCTTCGCACGGTTCCCACCAAACTTCTACTACTACTACGCAAGCTCGCCCGACGTCCATCAGCTCCGCACCCAGCCATCGAGAGCCCATTCGATCCTTTATTCACAGCTCTGTGCGAGATGACTTACTGGGTATGTTTAGTTAATGCGCTTAGCGCCCTTATCATCTCCACACCATCGCCTGCTTACGCCCAGCTTTTGCTTCCAAATAAAAAAAATGAAGACAATCCAAAATCGCTAACTCCTGCGGACTAGTTCCGGTAGATAGTGTTCAAAATGCGAGAAACATTCGTCAAGACACCGCGGAGCTTGCCACCTACCTCCTCTCAGACGGACAAACTCCCCCAAGCCTCGTATTCCTACGCTCGCGATCATCCGTCCACGAAGTCGCCGTGTCCGATTACGGCGACGAGTCTTCCATAGCTGACCATGCGCGCAACTCGACAACGATTGTAGAGGTATCTGAGCCGCCATCGCCAGAGGCCGAGCGCGACACACATGCGCCCGCCGGGCCCTCGGTTCTTGCAAACCTCCTCAAGGGCTCCCCTCCTCAGTCGATGGCTCAACATCACCCTCCCGAGACCGAACATGAAGAAGACGATGGGGACCGAAACCAGCCCGAGCCGCGTTTCCATACCGATGCCAGTTCGGAGCGCACGCCACTGCTGTCGAGGGTGACTTCAGGCGGCAGGCGGTCTTACACGGAGGATCTTGAGGGTCTGAAATCTCGCTCAAAGCGTCCTTGGATAAGCGGTTTGGTAGAAGCAGGCCACAAGGTGGAAGAACGAATGACACATAGCGTTGCGGTCGCCGTCAATCTGCGCCGCTGGGATGGCAAGGCAATATGGCACAACACGGTGGTTACTCCCGTCTCATGCTTGCCCGCCGTGGCTGTTGGTCTATTGCTCAACATTCTAGATGCGCTCTCTTACGGTGCGTTAAACTGTTATGGGGCCTTATACAATTCGCTGACGGATAACAGGTATGATTCTTTTTCCTCTGGGAAAGCCAATCTTTTCACGTCTAGGATCTGCCGGTATCTCAGTTTTCTATGTCAGCACCATCGTGTCACAAATCACATTCTCATCGGGCAGTATCTTTAAGGGCGCCGTGGGGTCTGAATTGGTGAGTCTCTGATAAGGTAGTATGACGCAATTCCGGCGTCATTGACTAACACGCCGCAGATCGAGGTGGTGCCGTTCTTTCACAACATGGCGTTCCGAATCACCGATACGGTTGGAGAGAATAACCCTGACGCCACCATTGCCACCACTATCGTGTCATACTCCATAAGTGCCATGATTACCGGCCTCGTCTTCTATCTCATGGGCCGATTCAAGGTTGGATATATGGTGGGGTTCATCCCCCGGCACATCTTGATTGGATGCATAGGTGGCGTCGGATGGTTCTTGGTCGCTACGGGGTTCGAGGTATCGGCTCGCCTCGACGGTAGTCTGGAATATGACCTCGACACGCTGAAGAAGTTGACAAACCCATCAACCGTACCGCTCTGGGTTGTCCCCCTGATACTGGCCATTCTTCTCTTCTACGAGCAGTCCAAAATTACCTCCAAGTTCTTTTTGCCTTTGTTTATCTTGGCGATTCCCTTGGTTTTTTACTTTTTTGTATTGGCTCTCGACGTGTTGGATGTGGATACATTGCGCGACCAAGGATGGATTTTCCAAGGGCCACCCTCCTGGGAGCCGTGGTGGTATTTCTACACTCTCTACCGTAAGTGCTTTTCACTCTCTATAGATGTCTTTGGCAACCATTCTAACAATCACATCAGAGTTCAAACTTGTGCGCTGGGATGCAGTCGTCGAATGTATCCCCGCCATGTTTGCCTTAACCTTCTTCGGCATCCTACATGTCCCGATCAACGTCCCTGCCTTGGCCCTGAACTGCGGCGAAGACCACGCTGATCTTGACAAGGAGCTGAGGCTTCATGGCTATTCCAATTTCCTGTCTGGTTGCTTTGGCAGTATCCAGAACTATTTGGTCTATGCGAACACCGTGTTTTTCATGCGGTCAGGCGGAAACATACGCCTCGCAGGCTACATGCTAGCTGCCGCCACCTTCGGCGTCATGCTTGTTGGCCCATCACTTATCGGATTCATTCCGGTCATGATGGTGGGCACTTTGATCTTTGATCTGGGCTTTGAGCTCATGTTGGAGGCGCTATGGCTCCCCCGCAAGAAGCTCAAGCTCACTGAGTACATAACCGTAGTCGTCATTGTGCTCGTCATGGGCATTCACGACTTTGTGGTGGGTATCGGGGTCGGCATCTTGCTAGCCTTCGCATCACTCATTCTACAAACTTCACTGGTGTCAGCTATCCGTGGAAACTATTCCGGTGACATTGTCACTTCCACTGTGAGGCGCAATATCTGGCAGCATCACTACCTGCACCGGGTTGGCTGCCAGATTTATATTGTGAAGCTCACGGGGTATCTCTTCTTCGGAACCGTTGTGAGCGTCGAGGAGAAGATTCGAGGCCTGTTGGAGGACAGTGCATTTGCCAAGCAGCCCATCAAGTTCCTAATATTGGACTTGTGGCACGTTTCTGGCCTTGATTACTCGGCCGGTGAAGCGTTCAATACCATCAGTAGGCTTCTCAACAACAAGGACGTTGTTTTTGTCCTGAGTGGTGTTGACTGCGACAGTGAGCTTGGTCGAAACCTGAGGGCCGTTGGATTAGGAAGCGATGGAATCGATGTCATGATGGTGCCCGATCTTAACTCTGCATTGGAGAGCTGCGAGAACCAGCTTCTAAAAACCCTATATGCGAGACAGGAGGAGCTTGCTTTGAAGCCAGTTTCCGTCCAGAACTTGGATGTCCCTGCGAGATCTTCGACTGCGTTCTCCTCATTCGACCCGCCCTTCAACTCACCTCGGCGAAACCATCTTGTCGAGGCTGCCCAGGATGCGCTGAGCAGTGTCGACGTGCAGCGTCCATCCAGATGGATGAGCTTCAAAGAGCCTCTTAGGCTCATGCTCCAGATCTTCCAGAGCCTCAGTGAAAGAAACGAGGAAAGAAACGAGGACTTCTGGTTCCCAGCAACCTCATACTTTACCCGACGCGAGTATCCGGCCGGTACCATTCTTTTCCGGCGCGGAGAGTCGGCGAACGGCTTCTACATGTTGGAACGGGGCATCATCCGGGCTGAATACGACCTCCCTCAGGGATGGCTTTGCGAGAGCATCGTGGCGGGCACGACCTGCGGCGAGCTCCCCTTCTTTTCCGAGACTGATCGGACGGCGACTGCGGTGGTGGAGAGAGATTGTGTCGTCTGGCTTATGGACCGGGAGCAGTGGGCCAAGATTCAAATCGAGCAGCCGGAGGTTGGTAGGGAACTGTTGAGGGTGTCCCTGAAGCTCACTAGCGAGCGCATGAGCGCTATTACCTCGTACATCTTGACGACGGCGGGTTAGATCTCGACCGGAATATAGAATGTCAAATCATCGGGGAACGCAAAATAAATAAAAAATGAATTTCCAATTAACGAAAGTACTGGAACGCATGGGTCATTGATGACCCTTTGAAGCAATTTGAGCTGTCCCAAGAGGACCTTCATTGCGTTGGCGTTACAGTGTAATGAGTGAAAGAAAGCGATGATTTCTTAAGCCAAAGCGGGATCCAGATACGTAGCTAGATTTGACTCGGAGCCGCGGCACCGTTACGCTTTGACTGGGAGCGATGGGGGAGAACGCGAATTCCTAAGAATCACACCGTTGCTACTCAATCTAACTCTTCGATAATCGTTTTCCTTTTCGTCCCAAACCCCATGTCACCTCAGCATTTGATTCCACTCGCCACAAGTCGTGCTCGGCTCGGGCCTTTTCTTGTCCCCGATACTCCCTCGATTCCCGCGTCAACACCGAGAACTCGACCACCATAAGAACCAGCCTTGCCGACTCGTGTCCGCCAATCATGAGCAACATTTCCTTTGGTTTTTAAAGTTTTGGAACTTTTGGGGCTAAAGAAGTAATACTCCTGACTGGTGACTTCCCCTGCCATGTCAATATTTTTTGATCTAAGCAGAATGTAAGAATGGTTAGAGTCCTACCTAATGTCATCTTGATGTCATCTTGCACTTCTTGCGTTGAACCCCCTCATAATTGTATGGATGCTTAAATTAAAACCCTGGCTTGTTCAAACTAAACAAGGTGCCGGCGGTTAACTCGTGGGGAGTCGGCCACCAGATGATGATGATGATGATGTCCATTACGCCCGTGATTAGGTACCTTTGGCTGGTAACGTCGACATATGAAGGCTTTTCTCGACTGCTTCTAGGAGTTCCTGCAATCTCTCGTCAGGTTGATGCATTCCCTCCCCAGCTGAACAGTTTGGAAGTGATGATGTATCATAGATCTCATCATTTTCTTCCGAAGCAGCGGATACACGACTAGTCGTGTTACGGTTCTCTGCCGTGTCTGCTGTGTGGTACGAAGGATCTGACGGGTAGGAGGTAGAATATAACGGTAAGACGGTTCACTCATGTATCAAGAGGCAACGCAGTACTTCAGCTGGTATGTCTTGATAAGGTATGAGTTAAGGTGTCTTGTTGATTGATCGTTTTTCTGACTCTCTAAGAGATGGAAGCTACCTTATATAGGTTGGTTAGGACATGTGACCAAGTCACTATCCTAGCATCCCTAACAAGTCGTGCTGTCCACATCAGACGGACAATTCTGGTCATTATTTCGAAAGACATTATGATCCTGATCCCACATGGAGTCACCGACCAAAGGAGGGTCAGGATCAACTGAATCTTCGGGGCTGCTCGATGGTGGTATAGTGAAGCTGTCCAGGGCTATACGAGAACCCGGCGTTTCAAGTTCCGCCGACGAGGTGGCTGGAGTGTAAGGGACGTGCTGGTAAAACTCCGTATGAAGGTTTGAGGTCATATCTTTTTGTTGTAATCGGCGGTGGTGATATGTTCTCGAGTGTATGCGTTGCGCCGCTAGTCGTTCTTCTTCTGTCTGGACCTTTCTAGGCCGCCCTCGGCGTCTCGGCTGTTGTTTATCGGGCATGCTTGTTCGGGAAGGGCAAAAGTGATGAAAGTGAAAAGGACAGCTTATCAGATACAGATAAATGCAATAGTATTGATGTAGTGAACGAACGTTCTGTCGATTGACTTGGTTGCAAACAAGTAAATCAAGTTTTGGGGCAGTATTGTTGGGAATAACTGAATACAAATAGATGAACGAAAATTACACCTTATATAGAGGAAATTACCGGTCACCATGCTATTACTGTGGCTTTTAGGGATCCCGGAAGTGTATAACACAGTCAGCATCATATTGAGGGGCAATTTCGGCAGTTGTTTTCCTCGAGGGACGAAAGTTTGGTGGCTTGATCATACGGAGGTACGACCCAAAGATCGTGGCCTGGGCCATCAACAGCAAAATCTTCCACAGCCTTGTCAGATATGCATAGCTACACCTGTTTCCAATCTGCCCCAGAGCGGCCTCCGCCTGGCGCCCCATAGCTTTGGGGAGTACGGGAGTTTTGCACGAGATTTTCTCAAAGGAGTCCATTGTGAATATACCGTCATCAAGCAGCCTCGAACTGGCTGGGCGACTTATTGCAATTATCCTGTTGCGACGTTGTTGCTTTTTCCTAGGCAGCAAGTTTCGGACCCTGTCACCGTACAACACGATAAGATATGCAGCCCGCCATGGTACGAAGCTATTCCTTTCTTGGATATTTCTGAGCCAAGACTTTTCGAGCGGGTTCGCACTATTCCATTTTCGATTTTTTCTGAGCCAAGACTTTACAGTGGGTCGAAGCCTTTCCTCTTCGGATTTTTTCTGAGCCAAGACATTCTTATGTCAGCAATCATTTTGTCGAGCTTCAATCCGACAATTATTCCAAACTCCAATAACTTGTGTTATCGGGTAGTGAAAAATATGGGACTAGATTCATTCGTCTACGATTCTCTTACTCTATAACTGGTATTATTTTTTGTTTTGTTCTGATAAAGTTTTGTTCTCTGAACAGCCCGTCATCCCTGACCCCAAAATCCCCATACCGGTATGAGATCTCGCTCGACCAAGAATCGGCTGTGCGTGATCACCACGATCCAACCGGCCACCCTATGCACCATGAGCCCACACCGCCTGACTACAGCCGCCTGGCCCGCCTCGTCCAGACTGTCAAACACCTCGTCGACGAGCACGTAGTCCGCCCCAGCTGCAGCAACGCGAGGTTAGTTGAGCCGATAACGGAAATAGACCGGATTTAGTGGAAACTAGGATTTTTACAGGGGTAGGCGACAATTGAGGTACACGACAATTAATAATAGAAGAGTAGGCTAGCCTTCCCGACCCTTGGGTCTCAAAGACCCCAAAGACTGTTATTGAGGCTGGCTCTCAGTCTGAATTCCTTAAAAGACGAGTTGAAAGACATCAAAGCAGCTCTCCGACATCTATTTTTGAAGCAATTGAGTCACTTTCTAAGGGAACGAAGGCAATAATGCATCAGATGGCGTTATTAGAGTCTGAGAACCAGATCCTTCGACAGGCGAATGAGTCCCTTAGCAAGCGGCGCAGAGCAAAAAAGACACGCCTGCGCAATGGAGGAAAGATGACTCTAGATGAAGGAAGGGATTCAATTGATCAGATAGATGCCAATACGCAGCTAGTGGCAGAATCATCGAGAAATTGTGGTCGAGAACAGTCAGCTCAACCGAAGGAAAGACATTGTGGAACTTGCAGCAAGACTGGTCATAATGCAAGAATATATCAGGTAGTTATTAAGACGTCCGGTGAGGAGGATAGTAATTAATTTCAATTAATCAGATAGTTTATTGTGGTTTTATTGAAGAATATATATTGTAGGTGGTGAAAAAGTGCGCACTTGCTTGTTGTTACGGCCCGGTTCACCCGTAGCAGCGAGGGCTTATATAGCAGTGTGTGCGCCTCAGTAATTGCCGCAATAGCAGTTATTGACCGATCTTTTGCCCTATGGTACAGCGGTCTAGCACAGCCGTTACACTTGTATTGCGCGCTCGCTTATTATGTACGTTACCTTATACTGAAGTTTTAGAATAACTTTTTAAATATAAATTTATAAAATCTAAAAGAAATAATACTCTATCACTATACTATAAAAACAATATAGATAACATTTAGTTAAGATTTATTAAAAATTGATGGTTTTTACAAGGGGGTTGAAAACAGCATTTTGTATGGGATTTTGAAGTGAGCCACTCACTTGTCATGCACGTTCGTATACTATGAATAATTTAAATTTTCGTATATAAAAACAGGGTGGCCAAAGGGGGGGTGCAAAGCGGGTGAAGGACGTTAAGTCTTGGTTGAGTCGTTCGGTGTTTTCTTCGAGGGATCAGCCCGTTTTGAGCACACAGATATCGTCGGCGTAGCCGAAGCGGTGGATTTTGTCTTTCTAGGAAGCTGTCTGCTATGTATAGCATGAAGAGGACTGGGGATGCGGGTGATTCCTGTGGTAGTCCGCATGCGATCTCTCGGGGCTCCGTTGTTGTGTCTTCGAGCCGGATCCAGCGTGTGCCTCTTCCATGAATGAGACGACGAATCTGACCAGGTTGCTGGCCACCCCTGCAGCCTCATTCGCAGCATCAGGCGTTTCCGGAGAGTAGCGTCAAAAACTCCCTACACACCTAGTGTTATCCTCGCCGTGCGCCTGCTTTCACACGCGAGGGCAGCGCCAGGAGCAGCCTTCACTTGATACTGGTCCAAGTCCTCCCGAACCAAATAGGTAGTGCGCAACCTACCGCAATGTCACCCGTTGCTCGTCCGCTTCGTCTCTTGGGCGTTGCAATTCTCGGGGAGCATCGCTCTGACTGGCGCCGGAGCCCGATTCGACGCCGGGACTCTGGCTTTGCAAGGGGTAGCTCGCGTGGGTAGGAATGCTGTCGCCTCTCTGCCCATAGGTACTCCCGTAGCCGTGATCGTGCCACACGAGAGCCACGAGCTTGTTGAGGACAATGAACTCCATTTTGAGCTTGATACTGTACACGACTGGTTTCATGCAGGGATGGACATCTTACGAATCTATCGAATCGAACGCCAAGCCTTGGCGTTCGAATCGAATGTGACCCCGTAGATTCGAATCGAATCGGACGCATCTCCCACAGATTCGTATCGAATCGAACGTGCCACAATTCTTGTCCTGTAGATTCGACTCGAATCGAACACATCTCCCGCAGATTCGTATCGAATCGAACGCGCCACAATTCTTGTGCCGTAGATTCGACTCGAATCGAACATGTCTTCCGTAGATTCGATATCTATCGAATGCCAAGATTCGATCGAATTCGATTCGAACTCGATCGAACGTAGAACTAATCCCGGCGGAGACCGAAACACCAATAGGACCTAGAACCAAATGGACCGTCGTCATCATCACCAGGCCGTCATGCCGTCATACCCCGACAGAAGAGTGGTGAGAGGTGCAGAGCGGGTTTAGAAGGTATCACGGCTTCAGATAAGACATCGCAGAACATCGTCAATTGTGCAAAGGCAGGTACTAGGCAGATTAAATGTCACTCGTCCCCCTCAGCGACGCAAGTGCGTCAACCCATTGATCATCACTGAGGCTAACCAGCGGCAGTGAAGGCGTGTAGATCCCAGCTTTACTCCATGATCGAATGCACTGAGCCATCGCCACTATCTCCCTCCTCAGCCGACTTCTCAACGGTGCCGTCATACGTCCTGCACTGCTAAATGTCCTCTCGCTCTCCGCAGACGACGATGGGATGGTGAGCATATCAACCGCCATCAGAGACAGTCGCGGGTACCGATTCCTGTTGATTTTCCACCAGTCAATCGGCCTGCTTCTGTAGTGGTGACTGTTGACAACATCCTCAGCACAGTACCGAGCATATTCGTCATCAGCAGTCGCTCCTGCTGTCGTGTGTTTCGTCTTTCGGGTGCTCTTGCGGGCACTGGACACTGCCAAGGACGAACCCTGGGCGCATGGCGACCCAGCTACACTCCTGGCAAGTCTCCGCTCAATGTAATCCATTGAGGCCTCGTCAGATGTAGCGAAGACTTCGTAGTCAACTTCGCGTTCCCTGTAACTCTCCCAGATCTCCAAGAGCTGGGATTCGTACTCTAATCGCCAACCCTTGGCCTTACGAGAAGGCACTCGAGACCACAGTTGATCGAGAAGGCGCCACTTCTTCGCCGGGTTGAAGACAACAGCGCCGACATAAGCTGCGCTAGTCAGACAGTTGTAGTACTTGTGCAGCTTCTTCCATCCGAGCTTGATAAAGACCTTGAGCAATCTACGGGTTCTGCTATCGAGCCCGTCGTAGATGGCGACTTCGACGTCCTTCTTCTCCTTGCTCACTGGATCCTCAACTTCTTCAAAGATTGTGCCTTCGATAGCTCCTTCGAGGTGGTCAAGTAGGATCTCGAAGACAGGGAAGTATTCATCGAAACTACCGCAAGTCGACCTCGCGTCGGGAATACCGTCGCCCTGAAGTTGCTTGGTGGCGATTTCAAAAGGCTTCAGAAGCTTGACAAGCACCTCGATAACCTTCCAGTCGTACGCACTTAAGCGGTATTGCAGAACTGCCGGTTTCGGTTTGTCACAAAGACCCTCAGTTTCCCAACGGTTCTGAACGTCATTGAAGAACGTATTGAGAGCCGGGCGGAGACGAAGGGCCCTCTCCATCATCCGCATATCCGAGTTCCATCTGGTGGCATTGTTGAAGACCCAGTGAAGTGTTGATTCATGGCCGGATTCCTTGCGCTGAGACTGAAGAAACTGCTCGTACAGCTGTGTAGTCGCTCGCAGCTGAATCCCGATGTTGTGAAGCATTCCTGGGGCGCCGTTCTGGCTGTACTCCCTGAAAGTGGCTCCATTGATCTCCTCCGGGGCTGGGTGGGATGATAGGAAGTCCTCTTCTGGGATACCAACGGCAGTGTTCGCTTCAAAGTCTTCATCCGTGCCGTCTTCCATTTCTACATCCAGGGCCTCGTCGATAGCTTGATCAACTAGCTCCTCATCGTCATCTTGATCGTCACCATCGGCAGCGATGATT